AACTCCAGTTCCAGGGAATCTGATGCCCTCTTCTGACGTCCACAGGTATTTCACAACACAGGTACATTTATATACATGCAGGCAATACATTCATACACATAAAATAAAAATAATAAAAAAAGTGAGTGCTGATGGGGTGTTTGGAGCTGATGAAATTTAAAGACTTTTCTAAATTTAAAGACTTTTCTAAAGTTGTTTGTTTTTTTATATTCTTTTAATATTTATTTTGTGGGTGTGCACGATGCATATGCACAACTTATATACATGTATGTGTGTTGGTGCACATGTGAAAGTCAGAGGACAACTTGCAGGAGTCATTTCTCTTCTTCCACCATTTGGGTCCTAGGAATGGAACTCACATCGTCAGGCTTATTGGTAAGTCTTTACCCACTGACCCATCTCACTAGCCCCCAGATCTAAAGTTTTAGGGGTACCATTCACAGCAAGCTTTAATGACGAAGTAAAACTCTCAAAGCTGAAAGAATAATGATTTACCCACCTATCCTATAATGAGGGCTAAAATGCATTTAAATATGGTCTCAATATTTGTCTTTCAGTAAACTATTTATGTCCTTAAAAAGGGTTTCATGATTCTAAAAACTTTTTAAAAAAGAAAATAGGTCTTCACAGTGAATATACTATTTTTTTTTCAATTTTAGCTTCCACAAATTTCAGTGTTAACAGTTTCTGACTGCATGATTCCCCCAAACCCTGGCTGTGCTCAAGTTGGCTCCCAGAAAAGCAGGGAAGGGATGAAAACAGGCAACAAGCAGTGGCTAAGAGGAGAGCATCAACTCACCCTATTCAGGGACAAACACCCACTACTGCTTTGCTGGTAGCAGGAGGTTTATTTCTCCCTACTGTCTACAAACAAAAGTCACTGAAAACAGAAAGTTCAACATAAAAGAGAAAAATACTATAAAATTAGTTTCAAAATGAGAGTGGTTCTGGTAACTACGTATGATTTCAATTAACATATAAAGTGGAAGATATCAACTACATATACAAACACTGTTTCTCTACAATGCCTGGCATTTCTTGAAAATAAACATGACTTACCTTGTTCTTCTAAATATTATGTAACATATAACCTTATCTTTCAGGTCCTCATTATAGTCCTCTAAGGATAGAACTCTCTACTAGAATAATCTGGCAATCCATTTATAAAATACTATGAGAATCATTAAAGATAATAAAAGATTACTGTATCATACAGAATAAAAAATTAGTATATTCTGGCCCACGTGCTTAACAAAGTTAAATCATTCCTCATTTACTACTACTTCCTATGTTTTATAACAATTTAAAATACATAAAAATTTCAGCTTTAAAAAAAAAAAAGCACCCTAACATTTATTTACCAACTCTCCTTGTCTTATGACTTTGTTCCTAGGGGTATCAAGAATCATTATTCTTAGGATGAATGAATTTCTCAATTGTATGAGAAGGCATGGACTATTTTATATGTAAACATACTCTGCAGCCTCCCAACATCCTGGCTGTACTTACTCTTACATATATTTCAGAAATCAGTCTATTTGACACTACATTCAGCACTGCTGAAAAGTCAGAAACACACTGTTCACTCAGGATTTTTTTTTCTTCCTCTGAAAGGAACTAGAATAAAACTAGAGAAGGGATATGCTCATGGCCCAGAAGACAGACTCATAAAGAACCAAGGGGGAAAACCCAGCAGCCTGTCTTCAGTCACACATGTCAACATCTCTAACAATCATACCTTTAAAAGATGAGGCCTGGGGGCTGGAGAGATGGCTCAGCAGTTAAGAACACTGACTGTTCTTGCAGAAGACCCAGGTTCGAATCCCAGCACTCACATAGCAGCTAACAACTGTCTGTAACTCCAGCTCCAGGGGATCCAATAACCTCTTCTGTCCTCTGCGGACATTGCAGAACACGGGTGCACTTACCTACATGCAGGCATAACACTCATACACATACAATAAAAATAATTTAAAAAAAAAAAAAAAAAGGTGAGTCCTAACACTTTTTTTTTTTTTTTTTAATGTGTATGAGTGTATTGCCTGCATGTGTGTAAGTACACCCGTGTTGTGCAATGCCTTCAAAGGTCAGAAGAAGGCAATGGATTCCCCTGGAACTGGAGTTACGAACGGTCCTTAGCCACCATGTGGGGGTGGGAATCGAACCTGGGTCCTCCTTAAGAGCAGTCAGTGCTCTTAACCTCTGAGTCATCTCTCCACTCCCAAGGCCTAACCACTCTTAAAACTTGGATTCCCTCACTTTCCACACAAGGTACATCGGAGGGTTAAGAGCAGATGTTGGGCAATTTGTTGTGAGCTCTGTATTCTCATCTACTAATCTGTACTTGGAACCTGCATAAGCCCAGAAAAGTAAGTAGCAGCAACTAAAGGAACTGCAGTCCTTCAAATGCAAACAACCTGCCCAGAAAGGTATGTAGCAGACAGCCAAAGCGACTGCAACCCCTCAAAAGCAAACCACCTTCAAGCACACATAGTTCAAGTCAGTGCAGGATTATATAGTACATTCAGAATGGGAGTTCTAGAGAACACACACTTTAGAAAAGGTGGAGTAGGCGAAACAGCTTCAAGTTTGGTTTTAGCCAGTAGTTCAAGAACATTAACTCCTGGGTAACAAAAGCACCCCAGCAATCTCACCCACTCTTCCCACCCACATGTACATATAGATACGCAGACAAAGAGAAGCCCAGTGCAATGCTTCTTCAATTTCATAGTTCTCGCAAAAAGAGCAGTGAGAAAGAATATCCTGGTGCCTTGAGGTAGATTGTATTCGGCAATTAGGAGGTTAAGCAACGCACTTCCTGGAAGCCTTCCAATTCTCACTACTTCTAACACCTAATTTTTAAAGTTCAATAAGCTAAGGGTTAAAACCTACACCTTGGAAAAGAGAACTTGGTTCAGCTCTATCGGCTGTAAGGCAAATAACAACTCTGAGCCAAATCCACTCAGTATATATAAGACTCCATGGACATGCCAAAGCACAAGTGAAAGGAAGCTGAGTTTCCTTGATTTCTCACCTAACAGCACCACACACTTAGAGTTCAAACTTGTGAAAGTGTTAGATCAAATAAAAACCATATATAAAATTGTACTAGCCGGGCATGGTGGTGCACACCTTTAATCCCAGCACTTGGGAGGCAGAGGCAGGTGGATCTTTGTGAGTTCGAGGCCAGCCTGGTCTACATAGTGAGTTCCAGGACAGCTGGGGCTACAGGGAGACCCTGTCTCAAAAAGGAAAAAAAAAAAAAAATACATGCAGGCCTAACATTCACACACATAAAATAAAAATAAACTTTAAAAATTGTACTAAAGACTTGAAAAACTAACAAGTTATAAAGGTCACTACAAATCAGCAGGAACAGCTAGAGGCTGGATGAAGAAGGTCCAAGAGTATCCATGGAAACAAAAATCAAAACAAAAAGATACAGAAACAGAAGGCACAGCAAGACCCACATCTTAAGTTTTGGAAGGAAAGCTCCCTAGAGAGTCAATTTTTACCCTAAAGAGAGAAACAAGGAAACAGTGCTCTGGTTACCAAAGGACCAGATTAATAGTCACTACTTTTAATCTTATTATTTCTACAAAGAAAGGTGTTCACCAGATAAAAAGTTACTGACACCCTGTGTCTCACTGGACAAGACAGTCTGGGATCACCTGGTCTTGCTAGAAATAGGAAGAGATGAGTCACTGTTTTAATTCTATTTAGTATGCTCCCAATCCTTCCAGGTCACAAAACATTTTCTTCCCACTTTCATCAATTATCAGTTTTCTTCCCAAACTTGTGGACTTGGATCAGAATACTAGGGTGTAGGGCTAAAAGAAAGCAAGAAGTAAGAGTTACAAGCTGGTCAGAGATTACTAGTGATACTTGGAAGAGAAAACTAACTAGTTAACAACCAGTCAACAGTTAAGACCAAAACTCCCTCTTTGACAGTGCCCAATATCTTCAAAGCTTTTACAGTGAAAAAGCAAGTAGGTCCCTGGAGAGAAGGTAGAAAGATTTAAGGTAGGCAACAGGTAGTAAAATAGTACAGTGTTACATGAACAGGGATAGTCCCAAGTAATCAGCACCTGAGGAAATATACACTCTTCTACAGGTAGGTCAGGGGACATCAGGCGCCTTGGGGCACAGAAAGTGGCAAAAGAGTTGAGGAGATGGTTATCATAGGAAATATATAAAAAACAATTCAATTATTCATACTTATTGCACTTGCTTACTCCCCGTGGGGGAGGTTTATCGCCACCCCGGGTCATGAAGGACATATCGTGAAAGTGAAAGACGTTCTAAACCCCTGAAAAGTGGAAAGCAACATGGTAAAAAGAAACAGTTTCTGTGAATAGGGAAATACTGGGAAGCCAATTACTGCCATGCCCCAATGACCACAGGACTCGGACAGGAACCCATTCCTGTAATCACAAGGACAAGCGTCCAAAGGAGGAAAGCAGGACTCAAGTCAGGTAACATTCCTGAGGGGAAGGATTATCAGGTGACACCGGGCTGAGGGCCCCTAGGGGGTTGGAGGGGTGGCGGGGCGGGAGGAAAGTTAGCAGGTGAAAAGGATTGATCATGAGGAAGGAAGTGACCTTTCAGGAGAAGGAAGAGCATACCCAAAAAGGAGTAAGGGTAAGAAGAGAAAATGGACCCAGAACAGCACGAGGGACCAGAAAAGAAGGCGTGTGGGGGGTACCAGAGGCAGAAGAAGGGAAGTGGGGCTGAGCGCCCACGGGGCCACGGGGCGGGAGCGCGGAGCCTGCGGCTGGACAGCAAGCGAAGCCCGGAGGTGACCGAGGCAGGGGCTAGGTGGGACTCCGCGGTTGCCCGGAGGGGCAGGACGAGCGAACGCGGAGCCCAGGACCCAGGAAACCAGGAAGAGGCGTGGGGGCGGCTCCCCGGAGCGGACGGACGCCCGGGCAGGCGGCGGGTCCCGAGAACCCAGGGCGGCTACCCCGCCGGGCTACGAACAAGGTGGGAGGGACACTCACAAATTTCTTCGGTTTGCCGCCGTCGCCGCCCGTCGTAGGTAGCTCATCCGGGCTCCGACCCTTCTTCTTGTCTCGGGTCCCGCGGCCGGGCCCCAGGCCCCCGCCGGAAGGGTCCATGTCCAGGTGAGCGCTGGCCAGAGACCCCGCGCCGCCACCGCTCGCGCCTGGCCACCTCGCGCCAGCAGCCGCCGCCGCCCAGCAGCCTTCTCAGCCAGCCGCCGCGCCCCGCCTCATTAAAATGCTGAGCTGCGCGCGCCTCATGAATATACAACGGTGACGCCTCGCTCCCGCCCGCCTGCCCCACTTCCGCCCGGACCCGCAGCCCCTACCAATGGGGGAAGGGAGGGGGGTGGAGGGAAGCCGCGGAAGCGAACTACCTGCCCAGCGGGCCTAACCATTCGGACCCACATGGGGGGGAAGGGAGTGGGCGGTGCAGCTCTGGGGCCTCAGCGGGGAGCATCGCCCCCTGGCGGTTGGAGCAGCGCAGGCTTCTAGGCTCCCACGCAGCGCCCACGTGGCTGTAAATCCAGACCGCACACCCGAGCCAGAATATGACTGTCTGAACCAAAACTCTCATAGAGCCTGTTATCTTGGTTGAAATTTTAGTGCTTGGCTTTGTGCTATAATGCCATTTTTATGTGTACAATACCCATGCAGTGAGTGCATGAAAAAATAATGTAAAAACTGGCAGTTACCATATATAAAAAGCTATGTGCCAACAACAGCATTTGATCCAGCTCCAGTACTAGGCTCCAAATTAGACTAGCTCTGGAGTTACATCGCGCAGTTCTAAATCCTAGGCTGGCTACTTTCTAGTTATCTTTCTCATGTGGACCAACTAATTATTGCCAACAACCTAAGCAGTAAGTTACTACTATTGTGTACTACTGCACAGACACTAAGCAAGGCTGTGTTAAACTCTTCCCTCACTGAATCCTCACAATCTTATGACAGATTTCACTGCTCTCACCATTCTAAGGAATTTGAATTTTGGGATGAAGTGACTTGTAACATGACTGCTGTAAAATTTACATCCAGACTAATCTAACATGCTGCACCATGTTTAAACTAAAACTCCCCACAGGCATAAGCCAAATATGCCTAGAAATGGGTTTTATGAGTATGGTCCTTATTCTTACATGATCTTCTCCCTCAGCAGTTCCATTCACTCTCCTGGCTATATATGCCCACTGTGTGAAAAGAACACAGGCTTTTAAGAGATGGACTGAATAATACTATTGATGGAAAAGATTTCAAGTTACATTCCTGAAGGGCAGAGTCAGTAACTTACTGGAGCCCCCAGTGCTTAGATGTAGGGCTTGGTTATAATACCAGTGTACAAGTGCCTTTACTAACCTTGCCATCTCCTAAATCCACCTTCATGCCCCTTGTGCTCCAGACCTTACAACTGCACACAGAAAGTTGACTAGAGCTATCCAGCCCACACTTCAGTGTCCAGAAGAGTTCCAGGGCTACTGAGCTAGTCAATTCGTCAGGAGTTTCTTAGATCCAGCACTTGTGAGTACTTGTTCTATCTCAGTGTACCTTTACCAACTAACACAATCATCCAAAATACCCATGTTCACATTACTTGAAGCCATCTTTTATGCCTTCTTGAGTCAATAATCTGCCCAGGTTTCTCTTTTTTTGTTTTATGACAGGATCTCACTATGTAGCTCTGGAACTCACTATGTGGACCAGCATGTCCCAGAACTCGCAAAGATCCACCTGCCCTCTGCCTCTAGAGTACTAGAATTAAAGAAGTGTGCAAACATGCCGAGCTTATCTAACTCTTCAGCAGAGTATTCTATTAATTGTCCATATATGAGTAAAGTAATCCATGTAGAATGCATACACAGGGGCTATTATAAAGTACTAAATGAATGTTAATGATTTTATTATATACATTATCATCTCTATTTCCCTCTCCCTTCATACAAGAATTAAAATTCCCAGAAATGTACAAAAAATACCAATTGGTTTATTTGATAAAAACAGTGGTAAAATGGACATAAAGCCAGAATTAGAGTAGGACACTTCTACATCCTCCCCCTACTTAAAACTGCCTTTCATCTACAATTAGGGTATCAGGGAGTCTGAACCCCCTCCCCCTAATGCTGTGTTCACCTTCCCTAGAAGCAAGAACTGTAGGGGAACCAAGGAAGAAGTCAGAGGCAACCTCAGTCCTGTCAACCTTTTCATCCCCTTAAAAGTGAGTTGAAAGGAAGGAAGGATTAAATAAGGGTCCATCCAGATGGGCTGGGGAATGGCCTCTAGGGCTCACTGACCATAATGTTCTAGGACGGCTATCCTTGTCCCTGTCTTATCTCTAATAGGTACCATCATCAGGCTGTGGTAAAGAGAAAAAATAGGGGCACATGTGATCTCCAAACCCTTCTCCAGAGCTCCTAAAAGCCCCAGGGGCTACCCGTTCAGGATTGGAGGAGTCATACTTTCCTTCCCACCCAATCAGAAGTGAAAAGGAATTCCTTGGGACATAGCATCCCACACTGCTCTTAAATCTCCACGTCACTTTCCTTGTCGTTGTCATGGTCTCCATCATAGAATTCATTGGGTGCCTCTGGCCTGTAAAGCAAGCAGAGAGAGATCAGGAACCCACTCTCCAATTTTCATTTTTCTCCCAGCACCATCTCCAAAGCCAGTTTTCTATTAGAGAACCATTCCTCCTTTTGTCCTGCTGCTAGGATTCACACATTCAATAAACACTCAGAGACTCCTCTGTGTCAAGCATTGCATAGGCCTTAGCAAACAGTAGTGAATCAGCCAGACAAGGTTTCCATAAAGCTGCTCAGGTTTACCTAATGAGTCCAGTGATAACAAAGCAAATGAATAAATACAATAATTTCAAATAGTGGAGAGTTTTATGAATAATGAACTAAAGTGACATGACTATGTGGTGAACAAAAGGATGACATTTCACATAAAATCGTCAGGAATGGCTGGTTGTTCTAAGAATGAAAGAGCCAAATTCTACAAAGAAGCTGGTCAGGCAAAGATCTCATGAAAATCCCTCCAAACTACAAGAAAACCAAGCACAGAAATTGTAAGGTTGAAGGAAACTGATCTAGTTCAGAAAGATGAGAAGGCCAGGACTGCTGGGGGTCATATGGGCAGACAACAGTTACAAGCCAGACATGGTGGCACCACCTTTAATTCCAGCACTCAGGAGGCAGAGGCAGAGGCCAGTCTGGTCTATATAGTGAGTTCCCTGTCAAGCTAGGTAAGTTTCAGCATGTAGGACCTTTTTCAAGCCGTGGTCAAAAATTGGATTTCTTATTTGGTGTGGTGCCACAGGCCTTTAATTCCAGTATTCAGGAGGCAGAGGCAGGTCAATCTCTGAGATCAAGGCCAGGCCAGTGTGGTCTTCATAGTGTACATAGTATTCCAGGCTAGCTGTAGTTACAGGGTGACCCTCTCTCTAAAAGACCAAAAACAAAAAAGGATTTCTTCTTCTAAATACAAGAGAAAGGAAGGAGAGGTAGAAACAGAAGATTGACATGATGTCATGATGCTATAACTCAGTAGCGAGGACGCAACATATATCAACACTGGTTTATTTCATTTTGAAAAACTATTTTCTGAAAGAGAATTGAGGTCACCAAAAAAGCTAAAGAACTAAGCCTGACAAGGCCCTGTCACCTTGGTGAGCCATCTCTTTATTACCTCTAAGTGCCCAGGGTGAAAAGTGTGAAGTCAGTCAGTTGGGATTGAATTTCAGCCCTAATATTTAACTTTCCTAGGACCCTAGAAAAGTTAGGTAACCTCTCTGAGCCTTGCATTCCTCCTGTGGTAATCTGAGGATAAGAGCTACCTCTTAAGAGTTGTCTAATGGCAACAGAAAGAGAACACGATGGTTTGTGTTTTGTATCATCGAGTATTTAGTATAGAGCCTGGAGCTTGGCAAACCACAAAAGTGGTAACTCATTATTGCTACTCTGCAAGTCATATGTAAGATACAGCTATAGGTATCAAAGAACAGGAAGTCAGTGGGTGGTCTGACAGTGAGGTAGGGCTAAGAAACAGGCAGGAAGAGGCTTCTGCTGGTTGAGTAGAGACTAGGATCATATGTCAGCATAGAACTATAGAAAAAAAGCCAAACCTAGACAAAAAGAACTTAAAATCAGGTGTTGCCAAACTCAGTAAGACAATAAAATCAATTTCTAGAAGTCGGGTTTAAAGACCTGGAGAAGCAGTGATAATTAAAAGAAGCCCTGAACCAGAGGGTTAGATTTTTCTGATTTCGTTTGCTTGTTTTTTGAAACTGTCTCCCTGTCGCCCAACTGGCCTCAAACTTGCTATGTAGACCAAGTTAGCCTCCATGTCTTGATCCCACAGAGACCCACCCACCTCTGCCTCCACCTCTGTCTCCTCCGTGCTGGGATTAAAAGCATGCACCATGGTGCCCAGCCAGTTAGACACCTCTTTACCCAGGGAACAAGGGGCTATCCATGGAGGTCAGAACTAAGAAGTCCCAAATAGTGAAGACCAGGTCCAGGGGAGAGAGATGGATAAGCCAGAGGTCAATGACCCAGATGCAGATTCTAGAAGGAGCTGAGAAAGCCATCCAAGACTGCAGCAGAGCCAGTTGCAACCTCAAATACTGTACAGTAGCAGCACCAAGTGTCCTGCAAGTATTAACTCTGGTGGTCCCTGTCTGTTAAGGAAATTTGTTCTCCACTGTGTATCTTTTTTCAGCCCTTCAGGATCCTGTGGTCCTTTCCCTTTATTTTCCAGAAAACTTTGTTCAAGAATTAACAAAACAAAAATGCTATCCCAGTCTTTCTCTACCCCTATTTCATTCCATCTACAAATACTTCAATACAGACCTCAAAAGATAAAGGCTATTTAAAAAAAAAAAAAAAAGAACAACCAGGCGTGGTGGTGCATGCCTTTAGTCCCAGCACTCAGGAGGCAGAGGCAGGCAGATCTCTGTGAATTCAAGGACAGCCTGGTCTACACAGTGAATTCCAGGATAGCTGGGGCTACAGGGAGACCCTGTCTCAAAAAGACCAAGAAAAAAACCAAACAACAACAAAAAAACCCACAATACTTATATTCTCAAACCTGGAAAAGTAAGCAGAACAAAGAATCTAAGAACCCTATACCCTGAACCCTGTTCAGGTCAGTACTCAGAAAGACTGAGTAAAATGCTGACAAGAATCTAAATAAACCACTAGAGACTTTTTGGAAGGCAATTTGGCAGAAAATATAAAAAGTTTCACTGCATACATCTTTTGACCTAAGAGTAACAATTCTAGAAATCTAACCCACTCAAAGCAGCAGCCAAGATGTACACATAAGAAGTTCACTGTCACACTCTTTACAATTGTTAACAGCTACCAAAAAACAGATGGGGCATGGCAGTAATGTACATATCCATGAGTTGATAACTGATTAAGTTATGGTATCACCACACAATAGAATATTATATAATTGATAAAATATTGAAGTTAATCTATACATATATATTGACATGGAAATATATCTTACTTCTTTTAAAAGAGGCAAATACCGGGCGTGGTGGCGCACGCCTATAGTCCCAGCACTTGGGAGGCAGAGGCAGGCGGATCTCTGTGAGTTCAAGGCCAGCCTGGTCTACATAGTGAGTTCCAGGACAGCTGGAGCTACAGGGAGGCCCTGCTTCAAAAAAGACCAAAAATAAATAAATAAATAAATAAATAAATAAATAAATAAATAAATAATAAATGAGGCAAATATAAATTGTAACTTGTATTAACAAAAACTACAGAAACAGTACAATGATGTATTATCTATAATCCCAGGACTTAGGAGGCCAAGGCAGGAAGATCATTGGCGTTCAAGGCCAACTGGGGCTATATAGCAAGACCCAGTCTCAAAAGCATCAGGAAAAAAAAAATCTACATAAACAAAAGTCATTTAAAAGTCATGTGTGCATTTAATATGTGCATGTAGAAATATTATTTACTTATTTATATTTTTATGTGTATGAATGCTTTGCCTGCATGTATGGTCAAGTGCACCACATGTATGCAATGCCTGAAGAGGCCTGAAGAGGGTGTCAGATCCCCTAGAACTGAAGTTATGGATGGTTGTTAGTCACCATGTCAGAGATAGAAACTGAACCCAGGTCCTCTGCAAGAGTAGCCAGTGCTCATAACAGATAAGCCATTTCTCCAGCCCCAGAAGAATTCTTGTAATCTATACAAAATGGTCTAATCAAAAAAGACATAAATTGAGCCAGGCATAGTGGTGCACACTTTTAATCCCAGCACTCAGGAAGCAAAGGCAGAGGGATCTCTATAAGATCGAGGTTATTAATCTGGTCTACATAGTGAGTTCTAGGCCAGCTGGGGCTACAGGGAGACCCCTGTCTCAAATACCAAACAAAAAAAGACATAAATCAAACTACTAATAGAGGTACTTCCATGGAAAGATTCTGGGAATAGGAATATATGAAAGCAAACAACATATTTTGATGCTGTTTAAAATATTTTCAATAAATATGCATTTTTGCCGTTAAAAATGTCAAAAAGAGGCCAGGTGTGTTGAAGAACATCTTTAATCTCAGAATTTGGAAGGTAGAGGCAGGCAGATCTCTGGGAGTTCTAGGCCAGCCTGATCTACATAGGGAGTCCCAGGCCAAGGTTATAGAGTGAGACCCGTCTCCAAAAAAAAAAAGCTGGGCATGGTAGCACATGCCTTTAATCCTAGCATTCGGGAGGCAGAGAGAGGCAGGGGGATCTCTGGGTTTAACCCCCGCCTCTGGTCTACATAGTGAGTTCCAGGTCACTTATGGCTACAGGGAGACCCTGTCTCAAAAATTCCAAAAATGAAAAAAAACAAAAATAATTAATGAAAACACAAAATGAGGTGCTGGGGTTTCTATGCCAGCCTCATCTACATAGGGAGGCCCAGGCCAAGGTTATAGAGTGAGACCCGTCTCCAAAAAAAAAAAAGCTGGGCATGGTAGCACATGCCTTTAATCCTAGCATTCAGGAAGAAGAGGCAGGTGGATCTCTTCGAGTTAGAGCAAGTTCCAGGCAAGCTGGGACTACAGGGAGACCCTGTCTCAAAAAGACCAAGAAAACAAAAACAAAAAAAGAGTAGAAAACTTGTAGCCTAAAGAAGGTAAGCTAGAGACAAATGAAGTAGTGTCTTTGAATTTACTTTTTCACTTAGAAGCCTCTTGGGCAAGTCTGAGAACTGCCTGCTCTTAAGTCCCTAGCCCAGACCTGCTGTAGTTTTCCTCAGGACCTCTCTCCTCTGCATCAGCTTCATCAGTCCTGTCATAGGTCAGGAGGTCCGCTGGAACATCATGAATCTGGACACTAGGTGCATGGTTCAGCATCTTCAGGTTTTCAAAGATTGTCTGGCGGATCTGGTCCAGATACTGGTTGAGAGGAGAGATTGAGTAGCTCCTAACTGATTCCCAGGGCATCTGCCCTTCTAGCTGCCTTCCACCCTGACCATCCTGGTTTTAAACTTAGTAGTACTTTAACTTCAGATCCCCAATTGATAACTGTCCCTGCTGACCAACCCAACTGCCTCTACTTTATCCTGGGCTTCCTCCCAGATGATAGCAGTGACCCTGACAGCTCAGAACTTCCTTCTCCTGCTTTCTCCTACTTCCTACTTCCTGGACCTCTCCTGAGCTTCACTGTTCTGTCCAGCTTCTGAAGGTGCTGACCTGGCGTGAGTTCTGATTCTCGATGCGAGTGCTGACATCTGGATGGAGTGTGAAGTCCGGGGCAAAGTATTCGAAGTATTCTTGGAGAAGAGAAGGGATTGGGAGAGAGGATTCACTAGAAGTGTGGCTCAGACTCATATAGGAAGGTCCCAGGAATTCCAGATCTCCCTTCCCCATCCTGGTCCTCTGCCTAATCTTTGCTCTGCTCCGAGCCCAGGGGTTTAGTCTGCAGAGCTCTGAGAATGTCCAACATCTCATCTTCCTTCATACAAGGTCATTCTTGAGGCTGGTGAATGACTCCTGTTGTGGGGGTGTTGTAGGGTAGCTCTTACCACTGTAGGGAAGCTCCTCACTGATGGCCTCTTCTACCAGTAGTGAGGTCTCATATGTCCTGAAACCAGGAAGCAGAGGGGGTTGGGATGACCATATGGGTTGCAGGGACCACCCATCTTATCTCAGAGAATCCACAGTGGGCCACAAAGGAGGAGGAAATGGAGAGTACTCACCAGCAGCGGGCAACATTCCGAACAGTATAGCCACCACCACCCAGTACCAGTAGAGGAATATTAAAGCTCTTGACATATTCCACACATTCTCTGTTAAAAGGAACCAGAGGACTGGATGGAGCCAAGACATACAACCCTAAGTATTCCTTGAAAAGGAACAAAGAGAATGACAAATGTTCTATTATCATGATCTGGAGGGTAGAATTCACTGAGTTGTACTGTGTGTGTATGTCTCCATGTTCATGTATATGCAGGTGCATGTGTGTGTTCAGGTGTGTGTGCATGTATGTGTGTAGGCACTGTGAGGCCAGAAGACAACCTCAGTTGTTCTGAAGGCTCTATCCACTTTGTTTTGAGACAGGGTCTCTCACCAGCCTAGAACTTCCCAAGCAGGCTAGGCTGGCTGGCCACTGAGCCCCATGAATCCTCTTATCTCTGCCTCCCCAGCACTGGAATTACAAGTCTGTGCCACTGCACCTGGCTTTTTTACATGTGTTCTGGGGATCAAATTTAGGTCCTCATGTTTATACAGCAAGCACTTTACCCACTGAGCTATCCCTGAGTGCCTTAGCTGTACTCTTAAGATTAGTATACTCTAGGGGCTGGAGAGGTGACTCAGAGGTTAAAAGCACTTACTGCTACTCTAGAGGAGACCTGAGTTCAGTTCCCAGCACCCATTCCAAGAAGCTCACAACTTCCTCCAACTCCAGTTCCAGGGGATCTGATGCCCTCTTCTGGCCTCTGCAGTCACTCCCACACATACATAGCCATGAATAAAAATGAATCAGTTTTTTTTTTTAGTATCTTATTATTTTTATGTGTATGAGTGTATTGCCTACATGTATGTGAGTGCACCCGTGTCATGCAACACCACAGAAATCAGAAGAGGGCTTCGGATTCCCCTGGAACTGGAGTTAAGGATGGTTCGTAGCCACCATGTGGGTGCTGGGAATCAAACCCAGGTCCTCTGCAAGAGCAGTCAGCGCTCTTAACCGCTGAGCCATCTATTTAGCCCCAAAATAAATCTTTTTTTTTTTTTGTTTTTTTTTTCTGTCTTTTTGAGACAGGGTCTCCCTGTAGCCCCAGCTGTCCTGGAACTTACCATGTAGACCAGGCTGGCCTTGAACTCACAGAGATCTGCCTGCCTCTGCCAGGCAGGCGGAAGGACTACAGGCGTGCGCCACCATACCCAGCAGGAATAAATCATTTTTTTTAAAAAAAAGATTAATATACTTTAATATTTTGTGTTTCAATGAAAATTTTCAAGTAAGCACACCCTCACTTCTATCTTGTGCAACACTATTCCTGGCACCTTATCTGCTACTCAACTACTCTCATCAGTGCCTCAGCCAGGCTGTCAGTTCTAGTCTTCAAGATACACCCCCATACTCCCTATTTCTCTCCATCAGCACATCTCCTGCCCAGATAGTGTTAATGGCTTCCTAATGGCCTTCCCACTACCTATCCCATCTCCCTACTCCCACCCCAGACTCTTCCTCATTCAGAAGTCAAAACAGTTATTATAAACACACTGGACCATGTCACTTCCCTGCTTAACATCCTCCCAACAGCTTTTCACCATTTGCAAATGTAATTCAAACCCATACCAGGATCTAACAGGTTTGCATAATCTCAACATGCCCAGCATCTAGCACCTCACCATGGGCTACAGAGCATCAAGCTTTGTTCCCAGTGCTCTGGCCTCACTTGTTTTATTTCCTCTCTTTCAAGACAGCAGCTCTTTTGGATCTCAGGCTTTCCTGGGCCCTTCTCACTGCTTAGAAGAGAATGCTCTCTGCTCCTTTTATGGCTCACTCCTTCAGAGCCTCCAGGTCTCAGCTCTCATTTCACCTTCTCAGAAAACCCCTTCCAGATCATGCTATCTATAGTAAATTCCCAAGTCAGGTGTGGTTATTGATCTGTAATAAAGTTCAAAGCCAGGTATGGATGACCCACACTAGTGATCCCAGCATTTAGGAGGCTGAGGCAGAGGATCACAAGTTTATGGTCAGCCTGTGCCACACAGTAAGACCAACCCTTGTCTCAAAAAGAACCAAAAATAATAAAATTTAAAAGTAGATTCCCAGCTGGGCGTGGTGGCGCACGCCTGTAGTCCCAGCACTTGGGAGGCAGAGGCAGGCGGATCTCTGTGAGTTCAAGTCCAGCCTGGTCTACATAGTGAGTTCCAGGACAGCTGGGGCTACAGGGAGACCCTGTTTCAAAAAGACAAAAAAAAAAAAAGTAGATTCCCTATTTTACCCTGTCTTAGTTTTTTAACTAAGACATTAGTGAAGACTAAGATGCCCCCCTTCATAAGGCTTTTATTTTGTTTGTGTGCATGCGTACAGGAATAAATAAATCTTAAAAAAAAGAACGAAAAAAAGAAAAAAAAACCCTCAGGAGAAAAAGAAAAGCAAGTCTCACCCATGTCCTCGTATGCTGAGATTGAAGCAACCTAATCGATCACAGCCGAGAGAGTCAGCTCCACACTGCAAAAAGCAAACCCCAGATAGCAACATAAATGATCAGAACATCAGAGTCCTCTACTTCCCTTCTCTCACCAACTTAGGGAACTTATTCTTCCCAGTCTTTTCCCCCAAACCCAGGCAAGCCCTCTTGAGGTACTAACGGACTAACCTGGAGCACAATGCACGTGGGTTGGTAGAAGTCCACTACCTGGCTGATGACTGGCTGGAAAAGGTGCTTGTAACCTGGGAGAGGGCCAAAGGTAGGCAACCTGGCACCCCAAGGGGATGGGGAGACAGGGAACAAAAGGAAAAAGGGGGTTGAGAGAGCATGTAGCCCAGGAAAGGGGCAACCCACAGAACCAACTACTGGTTCTGAACTTCCAGAGGGTGTCACAAACTGCTATGAGTGACTGATGAAAGCTAATGACCCCTTTCCCAGGGAAAAAAAAATGCATATACACATCATACACATTATATGTTGTATACAAATTCCAGGGGTTCATGGTCCCTCTGAAGGCCACTCATCCTTAAGGACACGCCCAACAGTAGACAATACCAGGCAGAAGAGGTTAATTGAAAGAGAAAAAGAAGGGGCAAGGTGAGCAGGGAGAAGATGACAGTACTTACTCTGGTCATCGATGCCATCCCGTAAGGGCACATTCAGACAGTAGTAACGGCCACTCTCTGCTCCGACTTCATACATGTCACCTATATAACAGTGAGCGTAGCAACCATGCATGAGAAGTTTCTATAACCCAGCTGTTCCTTCTATGACCACCATATGCTAAGTCTCCAGCAACTTGCATTTATTCAACACAGGGTTTTGCTATATAACCCAGGCTGACCAGGAACTTGCTATGCTACCCAGGCTGGCTTTGAACTCCTAATTCTCCTGCCTCAGCCTCCTTATTGCTAGGGTTATAGGTAAATGCTACCATGCTTGGCTCAAAATTTTTTGTTTGGTTTCTTTTTTTGAGACAGACTCTGGCTATGCAGCCTGGGCTGTCACCTAACTTATGGCAATCTTCTTGCCTCAGCCTCTTGAACCTGTCTGCTGGGATTATAAACATAAGCCACCACATGCAATTCAACACATTTTTAAAAAATATTTTTTGTTTTATGTGTATGAGTGTATTGCTTGCATGTATGTGAGTGCACCGTCTTAAGTTTGTTTCTCCATTGCTGTGACAAAACACTCTGACCAATACCAACTTGGGGAGGAAAGGGTTTATTCAGTTTATATCTCCCAGGTTGCAGTTCATCAGGGAACCCAAGGTAGGAACTCAGGGCAGGAACCTGGAAGCAGGAGCTGGAGCACAGGCCATGGAGGAACGCTGCTTACTGGCTTGCTCCCCTGGCCCCTGCTCGGCTTGCTCTCTTATCCAACACAGGCCCACTTGCCCAGGGGTGGCACCACCCACAGTGGGCTGGGCCCTCCCATATCACTCAACAATCAAGAAAATGCCCCACAGACATGGCCACAGGCCAGTCCAATGGAGGCAATTCCCCAATTGAGGCTCCCTCAACCCAGGTGTATCATTGACACTAAAGCTATCCAGCACAATTGACCCTTGTCAACTTGACACACAAACAATCACTATTAAACCATAAGCTTTCCAATATTTGTCCCCAAGATATGGTGTTAACATTGATATCACAAAAGACAGTAAAACCTTAAAAACTCCACAGTCCTTAAAAAACCCAAACACTTAAAAGTCCATAGTCTCGGCCGGGCGTGGTAGCACACGCCTGTAGTCCCAGCACTTGGGAGGCAGAGGCAGGTGGATCTCTGTGAGTGCAACACCAGCCTGGTCTACATAGTGAGTTCTAGGACAGCTGGGGCTACAGGGAGACCTTGTCTCAAAAAAAAAAAAAAAAAGAAGAAGAAAGTCTGTAGTCTCTTTTAAAAGTCTCAACTGTGGGTGGGCTTCTGTAAAATCCAAAACAAGCACTGTCTTATTTCAAAGGGAAGAATCGGGCACACCTAAGCAAAACCAAAGTCCAGCAAAGTAGCTCAAGGCTGGACATCTGGGATTCACTCATGATCTTCTGGCCTCCAAAGGGTTCTGGCAGCTCCACGTCTCTGACTCTGCCATCCACAGCACAAACAGCTCGTCTCTCAGACCCAGGCCAGCTCCATTCCACACTTACTGCAGTCCTTGGTGGTCGTCCCACGGTCCTGGCAACTCCAAAAAGCTGGGGTCTCTACTGAAACTGAGGCTACACCTTCACCGATGGCCTCTTCTTGCCTCTCTGGGTGCAAAGCCTCAGATTCTCTCCACGACCCCTTCAATCTGGGGTCTTAACTGCAACTGAGCTGCACTTTCACCAATGGCCTTTCCTGGCCTCTGTATGCCAAGCCTCAGCTGTTCTCTGTGACCCCTTCATGCTTTCAACACCAGAACCATGCAGGAGACTCTTACACATTACCAAGTCCTGCTTCCAGCGTGGGATAGAGGCTTGGATCCCCTCTGTGTGCTGACCCTGAGGAAATAGCTCCCAGAAGACTTCACCTCAGTGATGCAGTCTCTTGTTACTTACAGCTGATTTTTCAGCCCCAGCTAACCAGCATCAATTGTCCCAGTAAAGCAAAGATTTTGCGTCAGGTTCTGGTTTCTTCTTAATCACAGCTGAGTCTTCAGCCCCAGCTGACCAGAACCCACAATTCTCAATCCAAAATCTCACACAAACAGCCCTGATAGTCTCCGCTTCCCTTTGAAGCTTCACAAGCCAGGCCTCCATCATCTACAACTCTCAGCATAACTGTTCCAAAGTCCACAGCAACAAACTCTGAGCACACAATGGCTTTTCAGCCCGAAGTTCCAAACACTTCCACAGTCCTCCCCAAAACACCAAGGTCAGGTCTGTCACAGCAATATACCACTCTCTGGTACCAATTACTGTCATAGTTTGTTTCTCCATTGCTGTGACAAAATACTCTGACCAAGGCCAACTTGGGAAGGAAAGGGTTTATTCAGCTTACATCTCCCGGTCGCAGTTCATCAGGGAGCCCAAGGTAGGAACTCAGGGCAAGAACCTGGAAACGAGCTGGAGCACAGGCCACGGAGGACCCCTGCTTATGGGCTGGGCCCTCCCACATCACTCAACAATCAAGAAAATGCCCCACAGACATGGCCACAGGCCAGCCCAACGGAGACAATTCCCCAATTGAGGCTCCCTCAACCCAGGTGTGTCAAGTCGACACTAAAACTATCCAGCACATGCACTCATGTTGTACAATGCGCATAGGTCAGAAGAGGGCTTCAGATTCCCCTGGAACTGGAGTTAAGGATGGTTCGTAGCTGCCATGTGAGTGCCGGGAATCAAACCCAAGTCCTCTGCAAGAGCAGTCAGTGCTCTTAACCACTGAGCCATCTTTCCAGCCCCATCAACACATATTTTTGAGGCACTTCTGTGAGCTAGGAGGTAATCTAGGTACAGGGGACACAGCAATGACTAGAACAAATGAAAACCCCACCAAGCTCATATTTTGGAGGGTACATGATGAAGAATTTAAAAAAAATTACAATAAATGCAACTGGCAGTGGGTACTGAGAAAAACAGACAGGGCGAGATATCTGAATGGAGTAATCAGAAAGACTTCTCTGAAGAGGGAACATACTACTGCAGAACAGCAAAGCTAAGGAATCAGTCATGGCAAAGAGCTGGGGGATAACCAGTTGTAGTGGCACATGCCTATAATCCCATAGTTCAGCATGCTGATTACAGAGGATCCTGAGCTCAAGGCCAGCTTGGGCTACAGAGCAAAACAAGAACTCAGGGGACAAAGATGGAAGTAATCCTTTTTCCCTACCTGTGCCAGGGAAGAAGTAATTTCCATACTTGTGGAAGGACACAGTCATGACTCGGTCAGTGAGGTAGAAGGCTTCCTGAACCCCATCCCCATGGTGGATGTCAATATCAATGTAGAGTACCCGAGGGTGGTACCTGGTGTGAGGACAAAGCCATGGTCTGAGGAAGAGGTGACCGCCCCCCAACCCTCAACCCCCATATCATGTCCTGTCTAACACAAGGTCTGGAATTATTTAGAGTCTGCTTCTGGCCAAGACACCTGAAACCTCATCCAACCAATTTCTTCCAGGCAGCCCTGGGCTTCAGCCTGGAGGCAGAGACAGGAGAGGGAAGTGCAGAGAAGGCTGAAATGTGAGCAGGCAGCAGGGAATGTAAAGCAGAGCCATGGAAGAAGCAGCATGAGGAAAACATCAAAAGAATTTGGGAGATGCCAGTGGAGGAAAAAGGTAAGGGTAAGGGCTGGGGATAGGGCAAGCCTGAGGGACCTCTTCAGCCCAGTTTCACAAGTTTCCCCATCTCCCCCTGGGATACTCACTTGAGCAGCTCCAGGATGCCAATTACAATGTCATTGACATAGCAGAAGCCAGAGGCCTAGGGGGAAACACTTTTATAAACAGAGGAACGATTCCTCCACCCACTGACCCCCTACTGCCATTCTGACCACCTAGCCATAGTCTTCCCCATCATATCCTTACCTCAAACTTCTTGGCATGGTGTAGCCCCCCAGCCCAGTTAATGGCAATATCACAGATCTGAAAGATAAATAACCAATTCACAGTATTCTTCTTGCTCACCCCTGAAGCTGGGTTCTCAGGGTCAGAGCTAGTGTCCTGAATCTGGAGACCCACAAAAAAGGGGAACAGGACTCAGGGCTACGTCACCTTGTTGTTCAGTTGGGTTGCTCCTTGCAGAGATGCGCCTGTGTAACGGGAACAGAACTCAAAGAGCCCGGGAAACACTGGGCTTCAGAAAAAAAAGGGGAATTAGAACCCTCACCTTTGTCCATCTCCCTCCCAGCTCAGACTCCTCCAGTTACCACTGTCCAACAGCCCTCTGGTCCCCTCCTACACACCTAAAACTATCTACAAATCCATTCAACAAAGATTTGGACCAAATCACATAATGAGCAAAGCAGAGAACAAGAAGTATAATAATGTACAACAGTCAGAAGAAAAGCAAACAGCTTCTGGGTTCTTGAGTATACAATAAAAAGTAAATTGAGATTAAAAAAAGAAGCTCTGTTTATTATAAGAAGCTTCTATGGGGCTGGAGAGATAGCTCAGCAGTTAAAAGGAGTGGCTGCTCTTACAGAGGACCCAGATTTGGTTTCCAACATCCCCATGGTGGTTAATAACTGTCCATAAAATGGACCCTAACTCCAGTTCTAGGAGATCTGATGCCCTCTTCTGGCCTCCATGGGCATTGCATGCACTATGTGCACTTACATAGATACCAAACACTCATACACATGAAATTTAAAAATTAAGAAGTTATGGGCTGGAGAGATGGCTCAGCAGTTACAAACAATGGTTGTTCTTGCAGAAGACCCGGGTTTGAATCCCAGCACCCACATGGCAGTTAACAACTGTCTATAACTCCAGTTTCAGAGGATCAGACAGTTTCTTCTGTTCTCTACGGGCATTGCACAACATGGGTGCACTTACCTACATGAAGGCAATACAGGCATACACATAAAATAAATAAAATATTTTTAAAAAAAAATAAGAAATTATGTGCTGGAGAGAGCTTCAGTGGTTAAGAGCACAGGCTGCTCTTGCAAAGGACTCAGGTTTGATTTACAGAATCCACATGGTAGCTAACAACTGTTGGTAACTGCAGTTCCAGGGGAATCTGATGCCCTCTTCTGGCCTCCACAACATGGGTGCACCTACATACTTGCAGGCAGTATACACATACCCAAAAAAATAAAAATAAATAAAATTTTTTTTTAATTAAAAAAAAAATCTTAGGAGGCTTCTATGTATACCATGCTTTAACATAATGTTCAATAACATCCCTTATAATCACACATTTTAAAGAAAGAACTGCATTCCTATTTATGTGCAATAATAACAATGAGGTAATGGAAAACCTTTAGCTCACTGTTGACTCTATAGACCACATATCAATTATAATGAGTACCACCTTCATTTTTTATAAAAAGAGAAGACCTAAGCCAGACCTAAAACCAGACAAATGATTCCATTTATATAACATTCTGGAAAAGACAAACTATAAGGATAGAGATCTGATCAGTAGTTTCTTGGAGCTAAGGTAGAGTGGGAACTAACTACTCCACATTTGTAAAGGAAATATTCTGTACCCTGGGATGTGCTATCAGATAACATTGACACCTAGGGGTTGGGAAGATGGCTTGGTCAGTACAGTACTTGCTTTGTAAACACAAGAACCTGAGTTCAATCCCCAGAACCCTGTAAAAGGCCAGGTGTGGTGTCTTGTGCTTCTAACCTCGGCTCTAGGAAGAAAGATCTATGGGCCTTGTTGGCTAGCCAGCCTAGACTAGCAAGTTCCAGGCCAATGAAAAACTCTGTCTGGACAGCCCCTAAGGAATGACACACACCCCTAAGGAATGACAGACACACACACACACACACACACACACACACACACGTGAGCGCACAAATGGGCTGGAGAGATGGCTCAGTGGTTAAGGGCACTGGCTGCTCTTGCAAAGGACCTGGGTTCGATTCCCAGGACCCACACTGCAGCTAACAACCATCTGTAACTCCAGTTCCAGGGCACCTGATGCCCTCTTCTGACCTCTGCAGTCATTGCAACACACAGACAATACACTCATACACATTAAAAAAATAATATATTAGGCCGGGCATGGTGGCGCATGCCTTTTATCCCAGTGCTTAGGAGGCAGAGGCAGGCTGATCTCTGTGAGCTCAAAGGCCAGCATGGTCTACATAGTGAGTTTCAGGCCAGCTGGGGCTAAAGGGAGACCCTTAAAATATTTTAAATGAGCAAATGGCTGCAAAGCATTTAAAACAGTACCTAGCACATAGTAGGTATCTAAATATAACAGATTAGTAGCAGTAGTAATAATCGAAAAATAATTTTATTATTTTGAAATTTAAAAACAAACACCAAAATAGATAAAGGAGAAAGAGGCTGCCACTTGGAAGAGAGATTTCTGTGGAGTAGGCCTGGGATTGCTTTTTTCTCCCCAAATTACTATTTGGCTATGAATACTAGATTACTTTTCTAAAAATCCTAATTTTTGTTTGGGTTCTGTTCTTTGAGACAGAGTCTCACTTCACTTATAGCCCAGGCTGGCAAGCCTCCTGCCTCAGCCTTCTCAGCTGGCACTATAGGTATGAACCATCATGCCAGGCAGCAATCAGAAATTAATTTTAAAACAAAGGAAAATTCCCTGATCTTCCTCTGAAACACAGAGCATAGACAGGTACAGCTATAACTTAAGTTTGATAGAGTAATGGATACAGCACAAATGGTACAAAGGGAGTATTCTCTAACTGTGCAAAGAACATCTTGAGGTCTCCAGCTGTGGCCCAAGGGCTGACAATGCATTTTCAGACTCACAAAGTGAGTAACAGAAACAATAAAGAAAAATCAAGGACTGTACAAGACAGCAGGTAACTGACTCAACACCAAATAAGCAGCACAGTGTGTACAGGACAGATCTCTGAGGGCTACTGTGGTCAAAAAAGAATTCACGGGGCTGGAGAGATGGCTCAGCAGTCAAGAGCACTAGCTAGTCTTGCAGAGGATCTGGGTTCAGTTCCCAGTACCCACATGGAGGCTAACAATCATCCATAACTCCAGTTCCAGGGGATTTAACACCCTCTACTGACCTTTGCAGGCACTGAATGACATGGGTGCACTTACACACATGCAGGTAATACACTCATACACATGAAAAATAAAAATAATTTATTTAAAGAAAAGGATCCATGAGGTTGAGCATGGTGAGGCATACCTTTAATCCCAGTACCTGGGAGGCAGAGGCATGAGGATCTCTGTGACTTCCAGGCCAGCCAGGGCTACATAGTGAAACTCTTGTCTCAAGTAAAATAAAATAATAAAATAAATAAATAAATGGATTCCTGGAAAGCCAAGCATGGTGGCACACACATGGAATTTTAGCACTGGAAGGCTAAGATGGGAAGATCACCAGTTCAAGAACAGCCAGGGCTACATAGCAAACTCCTGTCTTTAAAAAAAAAAAAAACAGAGAAAAAGGCAGAAAGGGCTGGAGAGATGGCTCAGGGGTTAAGAGCACGTGCTCGCTCCTCTGGTAAAGGATCTGAGTTCCATTCCTAGCATCCACATCAGGTGGCTCATCACCATCCGTAACTCCAACTTCAGGGGAATCTAACATTGTCTTCTGGCTTCCACAGGCAGGTGTATATACATACACACGCACACGCACACAAACATACACAAAATAATTTTTTTTTTTTAAAGAGGAGGAGCTTCACAGGGGAGGTATAAAGACTAAGGTCTTGGGGCTGGAAAGATGGCTCAGCGTTTAAGAACACTGACTGTTCTTGCAGAAGACCTGGGTTCCCAGAACCCACATGGCAGCTAACAACTGTCTGTAACTCCAGTTTCAGGGGATCCAACAGTCTCTTCTGTCCTCCTTGGGCATTGCCCAACACGGGTGCATTTACCTACATGCAGGCAATACATGCATACACATAAAATAAAATAAAAACAAATAAAATATTTTAAAAAATAAATAAATAAAATAAAATATTTTTTAAGAAGACTAAGGTCTTAAAGAGGCTGAATGGAGTCAAGAACATTTCCATCCTGAGGTGAGGCAGGCATGGGGATCAGGGTGGGAAGGTGCTCAGTACAGCCTAAGAAATTGGCCTCTACCCTACAGCCCTGCCTGCTTCTATCACTAGGCTCTTTCAGTGAAACAGATTAGGGAAGTAGCTTAAAAACCTGGGCTCTGAGCCAAGTGTGGTAGCACAAGACTATAATTCCAGCATTCAAGAAATTGTAGCAGATTCACTGTTGCAATTTATTTTCAGGATCACAAGGTCAAAGCCAGCCTGGGATATATGGCATGACACTGTCTCAAAGCAAAACAAACAAAACCCTGGGCTTAGGAACTGAATCCTACCACTCCCAATCACTAGTTAGATGTCTCAGACTAAACTTCTTATGTTTGCCTAAATCTCCATTTACTTATGTGTAATATCAGGAAAAGAACTATTACATTTCAGTGTTGCTATGAGAATTAACTAAATGTATTTGCAACCCTCAGTATGATACCTAGCAGGAAAGTACTCAATAAATTGTAAGAGTGTAGGAAACCCTGCATATAGGATCAATAGCCTGGCTTCTTGAAGAAATAAATTCAAAGGGGAGACACAGGTTTAAGGTCTAAAAAACACCAACCAAATGCAATATGTGTACCTTGTTTAGATCCTGACTTAAAGCGTGTTACGTATATATGTATATAAGACAAATGCAGAGATTTGAATGCTGATTGTATATTTGATTGAATTTACTATTAGTTTAATTTCTTAAAAATTATATTATGTATTTTTATTTTATGTACATGAGTTTTTTGCCTTCATGTAAGTGTACCACATGCCTGCGATCCCTGCAGAGGTCAGAGGAGGGTATTGGATCACCTGAAACTGGAGTTACCAGTGATTGTTAGCCTCTATGTGGGTGTTGGGAACTGAACCTGAGCCCTCTGCAAGAGTAGCCAGTGCTCTTAACTATTGAGTCATCTCTCCAGCTCCAAGCTACTATTAATTTTTAGGTTTGATATTGATATTTTTTGAAGAGTACCATTTAGAGACACATAATACAATATTTATGGATAAATATATGTGGTGCCTGGGATTTACTTTAAAATAAAGTAACACAAGAGGACACAAATGAAGTAAGGCTGTCTAGTAAGTTTCAGATCTCAACTCAACTGCTATTACTTCATCTAGAAAACAATCCTACCCTGAATCTAAATAATTCTGTCAAGTATACACTCTGAATCAAGTACTTCTTTCACAGGACTTAGCATAGCTATGATACTAAAATGTTATTAGTTTTCATCACTGTATCCCTTGTACTTAACCTAGAACATAGGGACTGGACTAAAACAAATGACCACTGAATATTTGCTTAATAATGAGTGAATGATGATTCACTGACAAGTAGGCTCCCTTCATATCATTCTACTGCTGCTACAAGACCTCACTGAAGGGTCTGGCATCAAAAGTTCACTCTTCCCTCACCAGTCATCGCCCACATTGAAGGCATTAAGGCTCTTGGTGAAGCCCTGCATGTTGGTGGGGCTGACACGCTGCAGGAAGTCAATGTAGTCCTCAGAATGGAAGCGGCACATGTCATGCTGGGAGGCCTGATATGGCTTGAACACCTTAGGAAGAGACACAAGATGAAGCTGTTACCCCAATACTAACTAGGTGACCTAGCTGAATTTCTACCCTGCCCTAAACTTGCTTATCTTTGAGGACAGGATGCCTGTAGGCCAGAAATTCCTCTCGGGTGGACCAGTTGAAAGAGTCTGGGCCCAAGAGGGCTGCCTAAACAAGCCTTAACTTCATTATAATCCCATTTGACTTACCCAGCACCACTGACAATTTTCAATTGCCATGGAAACAACTGGAAATAAATTTAAAAAAAAAAAAGTGGTAGTGCCTGATTCCCAGAAATTTTCTGCCTATTCCCAGAAAAAAAATATAAATATGCTTCCACTTTTTTAGTCTATCCCTCTCAGCTCATTTCTTTTATTCTCTATAACTTGTTCTTAATCTAAAAAATTTATTACATTATTTATTTCTTTATTAGCATGTGAGGCATGCTTGTCATGGTGCCATGGCGCCATGGCACAAGTACAGAAGTCAGAGGGCAACTTGCCAGAGTCAGTTCTCTTCTTCCACAATGTGGGCTCCAGGGATTGAACTCAGGTTGTCAGACCTGCAGATAAGCATCTTTATCTGCTGGGCCATTTTGCCAACCCCTATATCTATAATCTCTTGCTTCCCAGGAGTTGAGAAGTCTATCTCCCACTTCTATTCTTGGCCAAGAATAAAAGTCTCTTTCACTTCTCTTGGTACATTGTCTTATTACTGCTTCGACAATTCCAGGAGAGGAAAAAAGATCCAGTTTGGGTGCAAAACTTGGTAACAAACCTAGGCAGGGCCATGCCAGTCACAGGGCTGAGACCACTCACACTGAATCCAGCCCTGGAAACTGTTGTCCAAAACACATCTAACAACCTTCTCACCCTCAATTCATTGTTATTCTATGAGTAAAGAAAAGAGGCTATTAGCTAGACTCCAAAAGACTACTTCCCTTTAGAGGAAGGACTTCCTCTCCTACCTCAACTTTGACCCCTGATCCATTTGCCCTGTTCCTGGATCTCCATACTTCTCTCTTCCCCTAAGCTGATTCTGTCTTCTTCTCTAGATTCATGTGATCACATGTATGAGATATATGACAACCTAATTGAAATCAAAAGGGCTAAAACCAATTTATCATCCTTGGTGGGGGGGAGAGGTGGAGGTTCACACAACAATTTGAAAACTGGGCAAGAAAACCATTTTTTCTCCTAGAAAATGCATACAGGGACACATATGCAATTTCAAGAGATTCAGAGACTCCTGCACTAACATCACCTCAGTCTTTTCTATGCCCAAATCACTGCCTGTGCCGCAACATGGGGATCATGGGTGTTGACTAATCACCTTCACGGTGCATAAGGGCTGGGTATGCTATTTTTCCATTTCACAGCTATAAATTCCAAGCTGGAGACAAATAGCACATGTATACATGGGAGATGGAGAGTTGGAGAGAACCATATAAAGCTATTCTAGATTGAAAAGCAAATTCCAAGGACACCTATTCTACACAAACTACACAGGACTCTAGAACTGTCCCCAAGTGTTTTTCTAGCTCTCTGCAGGTAAAGGTGCAGAGGAAGAGAGGTGGGAATCAAGGGTAAATCTCACACGAACATATACTCCCAACCCTCATCCCCAGGCCTTCAAAACACAGAGGGCCTAGAGGTGTAGTCACGTGGCAGAACACTTGCCTAGCATAGGGAAGCCCTGGGTTCAATCCCCAACATGGCAGAAGGAATAAACATAAAAGAAGATGATGGAGAAGAACAAATCTTCTGTCTTCAAAGTGTCCACTAACCATAGGCAGAAGGCTAGTGTGCCCTCAAGTTAAAAGGGAGGCCGGACTGAGGTTAAAATGTAACTCTCATTAAGTCAGAGGACGTCACCCGCCCCCGCCCCCACCCCAATCACCGCACTGCATATAGGGAATAAATATTCTGTGTTTTCTATTCGGCTCCCCCACCTCTAGATGGGACCTCTTACGTTCAGTCTCCTAAGGCTACAGCTCGCTTCCAGCCCCAAACCCCGGCAGAGGAGGTAGGACTCACAATCATCTTCTTATAGAGACCGTAATGCAGGACCAGGCTATGGGTCAAGGCTAGCCGATGCGGCTTCATAGGGTGCCCAGCTCCTGGGGGTGAGAAGAGAGTCGGTCGGTTCGCACCCCTGGAGTTGCAGCCCTTGTCACGAAACCTCTCATCCCTGCCCCTCACTCCTCTCACCATAGTGAAAGTTGCCCACGTCGGGGTCATAGAAGTACGCCACCGTCTTGGCCATGGTGCTGGGGGACCAGGCCCCGAGCCTCTGCCGCCCGCCCGCCGCTGGTCGCCAGCCCCACCCGCGCCGTGCGTGCTGCGCAAGCACGCAGCCTCCTCTGCGGAACAAGGCGGCCTTGGCCCCGCCTCTCCAAGGGCACGCCCCCAGTACGTTCCGCCCCTCTCCTCTCTTCCCAGGTCTGGGTTTCTGGGGCTTGAGCGGTGGTGCTTGGGCGGTGACCAGTAGCATCAATCCTAGAATCACAAGCCATGTCTTTTCGGGCAGGGGTCAAATCCGCGGGAAACTGGGTCAGCCCGTCCAGCCGCTAGCCCCAAACGGGTCGCAGGCCGTGGTCGCCTCTCAATGAACCTTGGTGGATCCGGCCACTCTGCCCCTCGCTGGTGCAGAAAGCTAGCTTTCCCCAACGCGCTAGGGAGATTCCTGGCTTTCCACCCTCCAAGAATCGAGGGCAGGACCCGTAGCCAGCACCGGGGCCCTTGACTCCCTGACCCGCAAGCGGACCGAGACGCGCGCCGCACATTCCTCCTGGGGGGGGGCGCGGTCACGCGCGCATCTCACTTGCGCTCACACTCGCGTAAGGCTCACGCTCTCCGCCCCGCACACCTGCGCCCCGCCCCTTTAGTCCCAGGCTGGCTACGCGAGAAGGCATTTGGGAATCCAGGGTGGTTTCGGAGGCGACCCCCATCCCCTCCATTTCCCGGGGCCGCAGTTGTCCAGAGTCTGCCGCGGCTCCCAACCGGCCCGCATCCCCCGCCATCCTTCCCTCCCCCCAGCCTGCCGCGGCACCAGTATCCGCAGCCTCCAGCCCGGAGCCGGTGAGGCAGCGAAGGGGGGAGGGGGAGGAATCAAGGGATGAGCGCCGGGAGGGCGTCGGGGGCTCTGAGCCGGACGAGGACGCCCCTGGAGCCGGAACCCGAACCCGAGCCGGAGTCGGAGCCGGAGACAGAACCAAACCATCGGTATGGGTGGGCCAGGTGGTTAGGGTGGGAGGAACCGAAAAGGGAGAAGGGATCCGAGAATGCAGGAAGGGGAGGGGGCTGCACGAGGCCTGGCTCCCCGCCGGCGAGGAGGAGATGAGGACGCTGACTCAGGCTCGACGTCTGCGCCCGCTGCCTAAGAATTTCGTCCCATCTTTCATGCTGCAGTGTCCTTGGAAGGGACGCAGGCGAGGGATGAGCTGTATAGGGTAACGGTTTGGGCATCAGAGAAGTGGGGCCCTGATCGCGACCGGGGGCTTGTGGCTTCCACCCTCGGGCGGCCTTGGCCACCAGCACTCTTGGTCTGGACAGCTCCTTGGTAGGGTAGCGGGTGGGACGGACCTCCAAGTTAGTGCCTGTTTCGGATCCTGAGAACCGCATTCGTACCCTTCCTGGTCCCCAGCTGCAGCCCCCTAAACCCAGGAGACGCCCTGGCCCGCGCTCGCCCCCCAGGGCCTCATGTCGGAACCACAGCCTGGCCTGGAGCCGCCCCAACATGGGCTGTACATGCTCTTCCTGCTTGTGCTGGTCTTCTTCCTCATGGGCCTGGTAGGCTTCATGATCTGCCACGTGCTCAAGAAAAAAGGCTACCGCTGCCGCACATCTAGGGGCTCAGAGCCTGACGATGCCCAGCTCCAGCCCCGTGAGTGAGGACCCTAGAACCCTGATTGAGTTGCCTTCCTCCCTTACATCTCTCCCCATACCTCTCTCTGCCTCCCTGGCCAACAGACCCAGCCCAACCCAAATCCTGATCAAACCCACAAGACGTCTAATGATGCATTTTTGAGTGACACCACCCTGAAAGCAAGGCTAGAGAAGGATGCATGGGGGTCTACTCATGCTAGTCCTGGGCTCCCACTGACTTCTCCCATCTTTTCTGGCCCGATGCATGATGGCACATAGGTAAAGGACTATGTCTCAAACAAGCAGCCATGGGGGCCATCAGGTCATGTCCTCCCAAAGCTGACTCATTTCCCACTTCCTTGCCAACCTCTTTCATCCTTCAGCTGAGGACGATGACGTGAATGAGGACACAGTAGAGAGGATTGTTCGCTGCATCATCCAAAATGAAGGTGAGTATAGGCCAGTTCCTTTGCCCCTTTCCACACCAACTTTCCCTTGCCCTGACCCACTGACTGCCTCTTTTCCCTCTCCCCTCAGCCAATGCTGAGGCCTTGAAGGAGATGCTGGGAGACAGTGAAGGAGAAGGGACAGTGCAACTCTCCAGGTGAGCTGGAAACAAGGGCCAACATGAATTAGTTTGTCTTGGAGAGTACCTCTCTTCCAGCACAATCTTCCCAACTGTTATTTCAAGTTTGACAGTGGGGTAGGGTCAAGGCTGGCTAACTTATTGGAAGAAAGTAGTTTTGTAGAAATCCCAGATCCTTCAAACAATATTTCCCATCTAGATGTAGATATACAGCCTAACAATCACTTCTGGTACCACTTTCTTAGTCTGAGCATTGCTCCCTCTTTAGTTAGCAGGGCTGAAAGGAAGAACACTTGATCACTCATGGCATAATATTGAATTTACTAAAGACAAAAGGATGTTGGGACCTGGGGAAAGTGGGACTTTAGGAAGTTTAAAGAGCATGTTGAGCGAATAGGAGGAAACAGAGCAGGAAGGAAAATGGAAATATCATTTCTGTTCCCCTCCTCCCTGTGGTCCAGCGTGGATGCCACCTCCAGCCTGCAGGATGGAGCCCCTTCCCATCATCACACAGTGCATCTGGGCTCTGCAGCCCCTTGCATCCACTGCAGCCGCAACAAGAGGCCCCCGCTTGTCCGTCAGGGTCGTTCCAAAGAAGGAAAAGGCCGCCCCAGGCCTGGAGAGACCACCGTGTTCTCAGTGGGCAGGTAGGGATATAGTATCCCAAGAAAAGGAGGGGTTGAGGAGAGGCCCCCAATAATTATGAACCTGACCCACAAAAGTGGGCCCTCAGCTCTTTCCTCCTGAATGAATGGGAACTGCAGCAGGGTTCAGGATTCACAAAGTGCCCCACAACAATTTGAGAAGGCCCTCTCCTCCCTTATGCCAGAAAGAAGTAACAATCAAACCCAGGATATCTGGTTGGAATGGAGGGTTGGGTGGCCTCTGGGCTGTAGTCCTAAGTCCCAGTGTTCTCTTCCCTTCTAGATTCCGAGTGACACACATTGAGAAGCGTTATGGGCTACATGAACATCGTGATGGCTCCCCTACAGACAGAAGCTGGGGCTCTGGTGGGGGACAGGATCCAGGAGGTGGTCAGGGGTCTGGGGGAGGGCAGCCTAGGGCAGGGATGGCTGCCACTGAGAGGCTGCTCCCTGAGCAGCCACAACCCCAAGCCCTGGCCAACCCCTCAGTGCAGAATGGAGGACTCATGGATACTAGCCTAGTCCCTTGTGCACTTGAGGGGACCCCTGAAGCCTCTGTGGAACCAACCCTGGGGGCTAGAGGGAGGGGCCCAGGCCCAGGGCTGCCTAGTCAAGAGGCAAATGGACAGCCAAGCAAACTGGACACCACAGGTCAGCAGGTATGAAGGCATGGCAGGGCAGCGGTAGCCTCATCTTACTGCCCCTACTCTGGGGAAGACTAATAGGACTACCTCCTATTCCCACTGTTAATATCTCCCCTTTCTCATAGGTGCCGCCACCACAGGGAGCAGGGGGTATATGAGGAGTTTCCTTGAGCCCCAGATCAGGTAATCTCATCCTCCCACCCTCAGCCTAAACCATTCAAGTCTATCAGCTCCCTGAATCCCTGGAGTTAACTGTAGGCTTAGCCTGTGCCACAGATTTCTTGGCTGGTGTTGGGGAGTATGGCTGTGCCCCAGGAGATACATACAACCCCTAGAGAATAGCTGGGTCAGTGCTTGAACAGGAAGCAATACTGTTCCCCTTCCTCTCCTCCAAGCCTCATTCTTCACTGTGCTGATGGACTACCAGCAGGCATTGCCAGGGTGTAGGTGGTTATGAAGGCTCTCCCCTCTACTGGACAGCACTGCCCCTCAGTTGAGGGACCAGCTCGACTTCCACCTGGAGTTGCATGATCTCAGGCTGGGGGGCCTCAGGAGGAGGACCACCCCCAACTCCTGGCCCCACATTCTTTTTCCCTTCCCCTACCCAAGAGGTTGCCTGGCCTGCCTTCCCCAATACCTCGCGCCACATACTAGAGCGTGGCAGCTGGGACCAGGCCCTACCCTTGGTGGGCCCCTTAAAGCAATAGCACCTTAGGCTGCCTGCCCTCTTGGCACAAGAGGTCCAGGCACTGGCTTGGACTTCATGCCCTTTATTCACTCTCAATAAATCCGCTCAGACCATTATAGTTGCTTTGCATCCTGGCTCTAGCTCCTTCTGACTTCTGCTCCTCTCCTGACCCCAAGCCCAGTGACCTTGGCATCCAGGGTGGGGTTGACCACAGAGGCAGAGTGAAGACAAAGATGGGCCATTCAAGGCTTTGAGGAGTGGGTTCCAGACCCACAGATTTTGGGGTATTTTACCACCCTAGAGATGGGGTGATGGCAGAAGAAAAGGAATGGTTCCAGCCATAGAGACTGCAAAAGAGCAATGGGGAAAGGAGTAGGTTTAAACCCCAGAAATGGGAACAGGGTAAGTTTCTACCCCTGGAAGTGAGTGGACATGGGAAAAGACTGTAGCTTTTGCCTGTGTCGCTCCAGATAATTTGAGAGAGCAGTTTCCAACAGCATGGAGATAGAGGCAGCAGCATCACTGGGGGGCAGTGATCCCCCTGGCCTTCATGTGAGAGAATCCGGGTGGCCAAGATCTGGAGCTTTAGCTGGTGGGGGAGGTGGTGGACGCATCTGCAGGGAACACGCATAGTCAGTGTTCCAGAGTCCCCCTTGAAAATATCCCTATCCATTTCCTCAGCCCAGTAGACAAAACCAGGACCCATGGGAATGATCCCTCTGTACAGTCTCCTCCAAGGCAAGGGCCCTTACCGGCCTGAGTCGAGGCACCATCATGTCCAGGGGTCCAGGGCAGTCCAAAGCTTTGTCTAGAAACAGGAACCACAAGTCAATCCTTAAGCTTTGTTGGGTGTAGGTGGTTATGAAGGCTCTCCCCTCTACTGGATAGCACTGCCCCTCAGTTGAGGGACCAGCTGTACTACCACCTGGAGTTGCATGGTCTCAGGCTGGGGGACCTCAGGAGGTCAATGCTGCATCTCCAGCACTTAGGACAGTGACACTTTATAAATACTTGTTGAATTAACAAACACCAGCCTGAACTGTAAAGCCCATTAGTTCATCCACCCTCAATAAATACTTAAGGTACAACATGCTCTGTACACAGTACCAAAGAAAAGGGGTAGAATAACAGCCTCCCACTCATAATGGCGATTGAGAATCCCATAATCTCTCTCTGTCTCTGTCTCTCTCTGTCTCTGTCTCTCTCTCTCTCTCTCTCACACACACACACACAAACACACACACACACACACAAAATGAATGAATATTTATACTAGGAGTGTTGGGGATGGCAATGACTCTAGAGGGTCAGCGAGGGCAACTGGAGAAGGTGTAAGCACTACAATGTTTTAGAACAGCAGGATGTTCAAGTTGAAAAACAGGGGGCTGGGGATGTGGGCTAAGTGATAGAAGTACTTGCCTAGCATGAGCAAGGTCCTATAGTTTGAGTCCCAACACCACACACACACACACACAAAATGTTGAGAGAAAAGAATAACAAAGGTAGGTATTATATATTCAGAGTATAAGGTCACTAAGAGCAAAGTGTCAGTTTTGAGAGAATGCAAGAATGCTGTGAGAAAAGATGGATAATTTGTAATGAGAAAACACCATGCTTACCATGTGCCAAGCACAACAGTGTTGTATACTCTGTAATAGACATCTTGTTTTACTCATAACAATTAACTAAAGCAGTACCTTTCCCCTCACTTTATAAAGAATATAAAAAACTAAGGCTGGTGGCTCACACCTATAATCCCAACACTTGGGAGGCTGAGGTAGGAGGAGTGCTAGTTCAAGGCTAGCCTGGGCTACAGAGCGAAAACCTATCTCAAATGACCAAAACAAAAGAACAACAACAAAAACATAAACCAGGGAGCAAACAGGTTAAGCATCCTACCTCAAGTCACAAAATAGGAAGTGACAGAGCAGAGTTTGAACCTGGCTCCAAATCCTAAGCTCTCTTCCCCATCAATCTGCCATGGGCTTTATCACAAGGTACACTGGGGGCACACAGAGGAGCCTCAGAATAAGGCAGAAGCTAAGCTTCTTCCTTGCCATCTCTTATGCACCCAATTCTCTACTTACCCCCAGGCAGAGCAGATACAGGGGATCCATCCAAGGCACAGGTGGGTACAGGAGGGGAGAAACTGGGAGGGGAAGGGGATGGCAGCACCTGGCAATAGGGTAGGCATACTGTTATTCCTGGTATGTGGGAAGGTTTAACCTGCTTTTCCTCTCATCCCACCTTCAATTTCTCTCTCATTACTTCTCAGTACTGAAAGCAGCTAAATGAGAGCTGTAACATACACATTTCAACCACCAATATGAATTGAACAGTTACTAATATCAGGTGTTCTGCTAATACTGCATATTACAAATTTGTTCAGCCCTTACCACCACCCTGTGAGCTAGGCATTTTGATGGCTCCTATGTTAGAAGTGAGATTCAGGTTGAGCCATCTGTCAGGATCATGGTCAGTTACTGGCAAACTGCTGCTAGAACCAGGGTATGCTGACTCCCCTATGTAATTATTACTGCTGTGCCATGGCAAAAGTCATCACCTCCTGTGTGACATGGGGCTTTGGGGTTTACCTCTATCAATCTCTAGTCCTGCCTTCAAGACTGACAAAGCAGCTATTGTTATTTCCATGTAACACTTGAAGACAGCTCAGAAAGGTTAAGTCATTGCCTGCAGTCACGCTAAGCAATTTGAACTCAGACCTATCTGGTCCAACAGTCCTCCAAATTCCTATGAAGGTACCTTAGTTTTTTTGGTTTTTTTTGGTTTTGTTTTTTTTTCTCTGCCCAAGAAAAGCAGACAGGGAAGCCTAAGCCACCATAGGAGGCAAATCTGAGGGGGAACTAGGGCATTAAGATGACTATGTGGAGCCTTACCAAGGTGAGAAGGTCAACCCAGAGGGTCTGGGAATAGAGGAAGAATGAAGCCTACCTGTTCGGGGTTAGAGAATTCTGGTGGCCCTGGGGGGCCAAGCAGCTCTTCCACCAGTAGGGAGGGGAAGACTCCAACATGGCCCCCAAATTCTCCCCTCCAGAAGCCATCATCCACTCCATCTTGAGCCCTGGGCAGCAGACGTATGAGCGCCCCCTCAGGGAAGCTCAGCTCCTCTTCACTTTGTCCAATGTAGCTGTATAGGGCTCGGGCCAAGAAAGCTGCCAAAGCCCAGGAGAGGAGGGTGGGGGTTACCCAAGGATAGAACACCCAGCCCAGTAGCTTGTCTTTATAACCATGGTCGTTGAACCCAAAACTTCCCTTTCTTACCTGTGGGTTCTGCCCCTGAGGAATTTTCACCGTCATTGCTTCTCTCAGGAAGGGAGAGATCCGGGAAGTTGAGATACCGCTCAGGGACAAAGCCTGCCTCACCATGCTGGTTCCGAGCCTGCTCACCCAGCAATGTGAACAGGTATCAGATTTGCTCAGCAGTTCATGGCTTTGGCTCCCCTCCACTCAAGTTTCTGGCATTGCTACATGGGTCCTTGGGGGCCACAGAGAAGTCTTCCCACTGCCCCAACCCAAGGTCAGAACCCAGAGTCTTACACTCACCTTAACCCATTCATCAGCATCTCCTTCCTCTATGATCTCCAGCCATTCACCCTCTGTGATGGTCAGCTCATCCTCACGCCCTGCCTGAGCCCCACAAGAAAGGATTCAAGATTTGCCACCCCACCATGCACCCCTGTGTCCACCTGAAGTTTCAATCCTCATTCATACCTGGTAGCCAAACACCACATGTGCAGGGCAGGGGAGAGGCCTGGTGGCCAGAGCTGGGGGAGCAGGTTCCTCAAAGAGCTCCCCAGCCTCCTCACATTCATCGAAGTCAGACAGCTCAGCATCCTCAGCCTGGAGACAGGCAAGGAATAGATACTATGTCAAAGAACTACATGGATCTCCCACTCCCCCATCTTATCTCTAAGGGACACTGGGAATCCTCCTGTAAAAAAGTGGTACCTCTCAATCAATCACCATTTGGTCTCACAACCAAACTCACCAAAGAGCAGGGTGATACTAAATATTAGCAGAACATTTAGGTGCTTAATACAAAGTATCATACGTACTGCTTTATCTAAGTGCCATCAAAACCCAGTATTATTTTATATAACTACTAACTTCATTTTACTTTTGAAGAAACTGAGGCTCAGAAAGGTTAAGTAACTTTCCAAGATCACACAGCTAGGGAACAGAGTGGCTGACACTCATATAGCTTCCGGCTGCTCCTAGAACCATGGTTCTTTTTTTAAAATTTGTTTAATTGATTTATTTTTATTTTATGTGAAGGAGTGTTTTGCTTACATTTATGTAAGTGCACTACATGCATGTAATCCCATGGAGGCCAGAAAATGGCATCAGATCCCCTGGAACTGGAATTACAGATGGTTGTTAGCCATGATGTGGGAGCTGGGAACCCAATCCAGTGCTCTTAACTGCTGAGTCATCTCTCCAGCCCCAGAACCATGGTTCTTTTTTTTTTTTTTTTTTTTTTTTTTTTTTTTTTTTTTATGGGTCTCCCTGTAGCTCCAGCTGGCCTGGAACTCACTTTATAGACCAGGATGGCCTCAACTCACAAAGATCCGCCTGCCTCTGCCTCCCGAGTGCTGGGATTACAGGCGTGTGCCAGCATACCTGGCAGAATTGTGGTTCTCAATCACCATATTATAGTCATAATAAAAGTTTATTGAGAATTCTCCATGTCAGAAACTATGCCATCTCATTTAAGCTTCACAAATAAACCCTCTGAGTTAGGTACTTCTCTGACTCCCATTTTGGAGGGTCTGCCTTCTACTGAGGAATTTTGGTCTTCCAAGTATATATAGTTAGGGTCAGGGAGGAGCTCACCGTGGGGGAGAGGTCCCTCTGGGATAGCCGAGCCTCACTAAGCCGTCGTTCCTGCTCCACCTCATCCTGGGCTTGCGTCATGGCTGGCTTCAGCCAGCACTGCACATCTAGGCCAGCCCCCTGTAACAGGGCCAGCCGGGCAGCCCCCTTCACCTGGCTCACCTGGCAAGAGGAGGAAGAGAGTTAGTAGAACCTGGTAGCTGTGCTCCCCCCTTTTCCTCCATCACAGTGGAGGGGGTTTGCCTGAGGAGGCAGGATCTCAGAGGCTTATCTAAGCCTGGGCCTGGGCCTCACCTGTGCCCGCCGGACACTCTCCCTCACTTCCTGTATCCTCTGTTCTATGCCTGAAGCTTCTCGCTCTGGAGCCTGCTGCCGCCTCTGCTCCAGCCGCTGCAGTACCTGGAGGGGACAGCAGAGGTGGGTGGAAATACTGTGGGCCATAACTTACTCTGGGCCTGGTACTTTGCTAGTTGCATCACTTGCATTGTGTCATCTATTTTCCCTATAAGGTAGGTATTATTATTGGCCCCAGTTCAGTGATGAGGAAACCAAAGTCCAGAGAGGTGAAATCACTTCTTACCCAGGGTTACAGAACTCACAAGCAACAGAAGAGACTATGAACCCAGGTCAGTCTAGTTCCAAAATCTGTGCTCTTAACTACTGTGTCATACTATTGTATTAAAATTTCCCCCACCACCATCTGCATCAATGTGATACCTCCTAATTCTGGGATCCTTATCTCTCAGCTCTTCTTGCCCACCCCCAGCACCTGCACCCCCACCTCACCCGATGCCCATGGTGCTGGATCTTGTAGTCTCGGGCAGCTCTGCTTGTCCAGTGCTGAACCTCTTTCTCCAGGCCACTTTCCCCAGCTGTGCCTCCTGCTCCCTGCTCTAGGACACAGACCTGAATGAAGCAAGGAATGCTATGAGAAGGACCTGAAACTGTCCTTCTGGCCAGATCTTTTAACTCTTCATCTTGACCTCTAAGGTCAGGTACAAAGATGAGGCACATGCCTTTGTCTGTGGACACAAATATATACTCATGTACACAGAGGCCCAGGAATGGGATCAGAGTTGAGGGACAGAGGAGGAATGAAGAGGACAGTTACTGAACTTTGATCTGAGGTATGTTTGTATTCAGGTGGGAGGAAGGTGAACTGGAATTTTGACCCCCACCCCCAAGAATGAACAGTCACTGAATTAATACTAGGACAAAGACAGTGGGACAGAAGGCCTAAACTACGCTCATGTTTAGATTTGACCCATTGCCACAAACAGGGAGGTCTCACTTGATCAGCCCCTGCTGGCTGGAACTGCTGAGGTGGGGTGGGGGAAAAGACTCCAGGCCCCTGAAGAAACAGCTTCACATCCTGTTCCCAGTTTACCTAGGGTTGGAAAAAGCACAGGTACCCACTTACCACCTGCCCAGCTCTGTCCCCAGCACCTTCTAGAAGAAAGCTGACCAGGTAAGAGAAAGAAGGACACAAAATATCTCTAGGTGCTCTTACAGCCCAAGCCCTCACCTGAGAGGTTGCCTGCCCCCCGTGGCGGGCATGCTCCAGGATCATCTCTGCGGCTTCCAGCTCAGTATGGCTCAGTAAAGTCAGGGGGTCCCTCAAATGTTCCGACAGATCACTTGCCAGGGCCTGCAGAGAGCCCCCAAAGATACTGATAGCACCATCTCCCAGGCCTCTGGTGCAAAGCAGGCTCTCTGTCCAGATTTGTAAGTGGCATGGTCATGAAGGATGGAAAGAAGAGAAGTAGTAAGACATTACTACTTCTAACAGCCCCCTCATATGTGCACAACACTTCATAGTTTAAAAACACTTCCATGTCCATTGTCTTTGAACTTCATTGGTGTTATGAAGAAGGCAGGCTGAGGGTTAACTGATAAGGAATGTGGGGTTCAGAGGAGTTAAGTGTCTTGTATGACCATAACCAGCTAGAAGTAGAAACAAAACACGCTTACGTATCTTCTACCCACTCCAAGCAGTCTAAATCCCTAAACTAGGCAGCCTGAGAGGAGGAAGGGGGCAGGGGTACTCTGGGTTAGGACTGGCCTTGAGCAGGAGTGGCAGTTCTTCTTGGTAGTAGTGGGCAAGGTGAGCATTGGTGGCCACCAAATTCAGCAGGTACTCATTGCGAGCTGTTCTCAACTGCTGGGAGTACTGGACTGACTGGGCAGACAGCTAGAGAGGGAAACCAAAGTTACAGGGAGCCCTGAACGCTTGGGGTCCTTCCAAGGCCAACCTCCAACCCAGAACCAAAATGGATCTCATAGTATTAAACACTTACTATATGCTTGACACTATACTAAAAATTTCATATACAACACTGCCCCCCCCCAAAATAAAACCTCTCCCAGCTTCTGTACCTATCTAAAATTGCAAACTGTGCTTTCCCATACTTTAACAGGTCTGACATGAACCTGCCCTTCTAATCTCTCTGACCCTATTCAAGTGCCTGTCTCTTGCTCATAGTGCTATGGCCACACTGGCATTCTATTGGTTCCTTGATCCACAGTTAATTCTCTCCTCAGAGCTTTTGCACACTCTATTCCTTCTCTCTAGAATGTTCTTAGCATGGCTGCCTCCTTCTTGGCACTCGGATCACCTGTTCAGAGAGGCCGTCCCTCTAAATCACACCCATCTGTCTGTCACCCTTTATAACACTTTGACTTGCATCTGATAATTTGTTCATATACTCTCATCTCAACCAGGCTGTGAGGATGGAACTCTATTGGTCCTGTTCTTCACTGTATCCCCAGTAGTAGACAGTGCCTAGCACATAGAAGTGCTCAAAAATACATAGAGAAATGAAAAAGAAAGGTATTATTTCCATTATACAGATGAAGAAAATGAAGCTCAGAGAAATCAAGGAAGTTAACCAAAACCACGTTATTGAGTGCCTGGTACTTTACTACTAGGAAATAGGTTTAACCCAGTCTCTTACACTTATGCCTCTGGATACCAAACCACTAGGCTACTCTCCCTTGTTTATGCCTTCATCCTCCGAACCTTGGTGCTCAGTTTCTGGAGACTGGTTCGAGAGTGGAAGATCCCATGGTCACTTCGGTTCAGCCTATACAGGTGAAGAAGAGTCTGAGTCAGATATGACTTTGATACCTTAATTCTACCCTACACCTCCCCACATCCCACTTTGGGTGTCCTAACTGGTCATGCATGAACCCACCTAGCCTGGACATCAGCTGCCTTCTCCTGGGCCAAGGCCCATACACGTTCTCGCTGCCCGTACAGCTTCCGACTTCGGCTCAGCTCCCGGACAGACTGTAGCACCTCAGCCTGTGCTCTCTGGAGGTTCTCTGTACCCTAGTGGCATGGATATACAAAGTCTTGTTCCAGACCACTTCTAATCTGAGATTCCTTTACCCATCCACTGAGTCATACCTTCCTAAGAACCTGTTCCTTGGCACTCCGCCCAGTGCCCCCTGCTAGGTCACGGTATCGGTCAGACGCTTGGAGCCGGATTTGGCCTCCAGTCACAGTGGCATCCAGAAGGCAGCGCCAAGCACCAAACACTGTCCTGTCCCTCCCCAGAGAAGGTCTGTGTTGCAGAGAGACACACTCTACAGCTTCATGAGATCCCCCCATCCCCACAACACAGGAGATGGAGTGCTTTCCCTTCCCCCTCATCTGGGAGTCCATCAATCGATCAGCCCATTAGCTCAGCCACAGGATCACTCATGTCCTCCGCCCCCATCCAGTGTCCTTGCTGGGTCAGCTCCTCTACTGCTGCTGTGTCAGCTCTACCTGCATGCTGTTCACATGCATTTTCCTGCTCACTAGGCCTGCACCTCATCCCCACAGATCTCTGGGGCTGAGCTCCCGATCACCTCCAACTCTGTGCGGCTCTGCTCACCTGCTGTCCACCTCCCCGCTCCGCTGTCCTTCCCTTTTCAGAAATGGGCCTGCCAGTTTTTGGAGTGCCTGGTGAGAAAACCATCACAAGTGCAGTTCCTTTATGAAGACCCACTCCAACTGGGAGAATTTGGGATCAGGGCATAATACCATTCTTTGCATATATTAATATTGCATTTGCTAGATGCCTTACGTTCATTAACTTATTTAATCCTCATAACCCTATGTGGAGTTTGAGCACTATTATTACTATTCCTATTTTACAGAGAAAAACCTGAGGCCAAGAAATGGTAAGTAACTTGTCCAAGATCATACAGCTAATAAGCAACAGAGCAGGGATTTGACCCAAATCTTCCTGATGCTAGGTATTCTTTTTATTATTTTAATAAAATCAGTTTATTCTAATTAGCTCACAAATAAAAACATCACACAGCTAGTTAGGTATTTGTTCTTGTCCACATTTAGGGAGGGACAATATTGGAGGTCTAAAGGAGGCTAAAACAAGAGGGAAGGTCCAGAGGAGTTGGGTACCTGGCCATACTCCCGTTCAATGGCTGCCCTCTGCTTGCTGTAGGATCTGTAGAGATTGGGAGTGAAGTGGGTGTTACTGTTTGCTGCTGTTCTCCCACCTTCAATCCTCTCCTCAGCTTGAGGAGGAGGAGGAGAGAACCAGCCCAGACTGTGGCTACACCCAGAGGGAATGGGTCTGAGAAGACAGAGTCCTTGAGATCACCTCCGGCAGCTGCAACACAGGTCAGCCTCACCTCATTGCTCAGAGCCCCAGCAGGATCCCCCCATCCCTGGAGAACCATCTGTGGCCCTGGGGGTGAGGATTGATGGGGCCTAAGTGCGGTGTCCGCCAGCCTTCCAACAGGTCCGGAAGAGGAGGGGAAGGTTTTTACCTAAGCTTGATTGTGGGCGTGGGGTCGAAGGGTTCGAAGGAGGGTCCCTCTGTTTATGAATACATCCCCAGGATCTGGAGAGGCAGGCCTAGGGTGAAGGCCAGGAATGGGTAGGCCAGAAAGCTCCTCCTGCCTGTCACCTCACCCCTATCCAGGCAGATGTATGCTGAGGAAGGAGTGGCAGGACGAAGATGGAGGTATGTGAAGGTGAGGGGTCTGGCGCTACCTGATGTCCTCCAGCAGATCCGCCTCTCTCTGTTGCCGGTTCTGAAGGATGCTCAGCTGCTCCAAGAAGCGAAGTTTCACCTCCTGGACCGGCTTCACCTGTAGGATTAAAGGAGAAATGAAGACCCTCGGTACCCCACCCCGGCGTGGGGACCTACAAAACAGCACCGGGAGCGGTTGAGGGGGCGGGGCCCGAGAGAAGCTGGACTGTTTCCTCGGTTACTCTGGGTTAGGATTTGACCCCCTTCACACTCCCCGTGTCCCACCCCGAGTCGGGTGCCCGTAGGCTCCCTCCGCTCCCCGAGACAGCCAGGATCCCCTAAACCCAGGCAGATCTCACTTTTCGGGGCGGCGGCTGCATATCGGCTACAGCAAAGGCGGCCAGCGACTCTACTCCGGAACTCGAGGAGGCTCCGCCCACGCCAAGGCCCCGCCCCAGACCTGGCCCGGTCCCGCCTTCGCCCCGCCCACGTCTCGTCTGGTTGCATGCCCCGCGCGGAAGCACCAGGGGGCTGCAGAGGAACTGAACCTGTGGCTACTGCTAAAACCCCGGAAGGGTCCCGGCCGCGGGGCGGACGCTGCGTCCACCTGGCGGCAGGGAGAGTCTCGGCATTCTGAGTCAAGACGCCTGGGTTCTATTTCTAGTGTAATCACTGATTCAGCCTGTAATTATTGCTGGCCATTCATTTACATCTGTATATCGCCAATCCCCACGCTCTAGGTGCGGAACGGCCAGGTGACCAGGGAAACTGAGTCACTAAACATCTACGAAGATGCGTCTGACAAAGGGAGACAACCTTTTCCTAATCCCCGCTGAACTGGAAAAGCCAGAGTGAGCGGAGTGAGAGAGACGCCCGAAGCCAAGCAGAAACCAGCCCAGAGGAAAAGACTACATCCTGGGCCCCACTAGACATAAACCGGTACCAGCGAGGGGGCTTATGGCCTGGAAAAGCCCTGTCATCATCTTTCATGTTTAGATCTTCAGGCTCTGTGCCCCAAGTCTGTCAGTCTTAGCATGGCTATCCACACACACCCTTGAGACAGGGTTTCCCTGTAGCCCAAGCTGGCCTGTAACTCGGTATGTAGACCAGGATGGCCTCCAACTCACAGAGATCGGCTTGCCTCTGCCTCCCAAGTGCTCAGACTAAAGGCATGAGCCACACCCAGCGTGTTGCTTTTTTTTTTTTTTTTTTTTTTTTTTTTTGCTTTTGGGGTTAGCCCAGACTGGCTGCAACTATGTAGCTAGACTGACCCCATCTCTTACCCAGACTCACAAGCTCTAGGATTATAGGCCAGATTCATATATCCAACTACCACAGGCAACTCTGTTAGTATCCAATAGATGCCCTTCCCCACTCTTTTTTTTTTTCTGTCTTTTTGTTGGTTGTTTTTTAACAAGGCCCCTCTAGTCACAGCTGACCTGGAAGTCACAGTGTGAACCAGGGTAGCCTCCATCTCGCAGGGATCCACCTGCCTCTGCCTCTCGAGGGCTGGGATTAAAGGTGCCAGCCACCACACCCAGCTCAAAAATTTTTTTAGTAGTGCTGAGGATGGAACTCAGGGTCTTGAGTATGCTAAGCAAACACTCTACCCCTGAGCTCTACCCCTCAGCCCCCATGACACAAAATTTTAAGACAGAACCTTCAACTTTATCATCCCCAGGCAAAAGTGTGTAAAATGGCACCATCCTCCTCCAGTTTGGGAGAGTCAGAAACCCACTGCCAGTGTGTAGTGTGTGTGTGTGTGTGTCTGCATAGCATGTATGGAGGTCAGAGGACAATCTTGGATGTTGATCATTGCCTTCCACCTTTAGACAGGATCTGTTGTTTTTCTGCTGTGTATGCCAGGCTAGCTGGACTAAAAACTTCTGGGGATTCTAGAAGCCCTAGGATTAAAGGCACTGGTGCTATAGGCCCAGCTTTTATGTGAGATTTGAACTCAGGTCCTCATAGCTGTGCACCAAGAGCTTTTACCTGCTGGGCCATGTCCCCAGCCCCTCAATGTGCCCTTCATTTTACCCCACATTCCCTCCATCTGTTAAGGGCTACAGGTTCTATCTATTTCAACACACACACATACACATATACACAGAGAACAGTCCTAGGAACCCACTTCCCTTAAATTCCAAGACCATCACCTCATTATTGGTTTTCTGGCCTAATATCTAGCCTCCTTGCTTCCAGTTTCCTCTCAAACTGTTCCTACAGCAGCCAAGGACTAAAAAGAGAATTAAGATTCATCCTTTTCTTGCATAAAACACAATTGCCTCAAAAGAAAATACAAAAGCCTAAAATCCAAATAGAATCCAGGGTACAAGGCTATGGTGACTGGGCCCGTTTATCTTTCTCACTACAAAAAGCACTCTTCTGTCAATTATGAGGGGACAGAGACGCACAGCCCCACGCTCTCACCCTCAGCGGTCCAAGGAGTTTCCCTAGACGTTTAGGGATCTCAACTCAGGCCAAATTTTGATTCATGACTTTGACGCTGAAAGGAATTTCAAGACTATATATTATGGTGAAACAGAGTTGGAAATTTTATTAAAGATTTTTGGGGGGATTTTCTTTCTTTGTTTTGTGTGTGTGCGTGTTTGTTTTGAGACAGGGTCTCTGTAGCCCCAGCTGGCCTCGAACTCACTGTAGATCAGGCTGGCCTCTATCTCACAGAGATCCACCCGCATCTGCCTCCCAAGTGCTGGGATTAAAGGCATACACCACCTCTAAAGATACGTTAGTATAGGCTAAAGTACTAGGGTGAAAAGAAGTACTCACATGAAAATAAGATACACCCAAGTGGGTATATGTACTTCCCAAGAGATGGTAGGGAAAGTAAGCTGTACTCAGGTATGGGTTCCCCTGGGAGAGGAAGAAATTAATTGCCTATTAGCCGTGTATACCCTTTTGGTGACTCTCAGATTACTTTTTTTCTTTTTATGTGTAAGTGTTTTGCTTGCAGGTATGTAGGTGCACCACATACATGCAGTGCTCATGGAGGCCAGAAGAGAGTACCCCAGGAACTAGAGTTATGGATGGTTGTTAGCTGCCATGTGGGTGGAAACACCAGTCCTCTGCAAGAGCAGCCAGTGCTCTTAACCCCTGAGCCATCTCTCCAGCCCCTCAGGTTACTTCTTAAAGGGTTTAGAAACATTATTTCTTTCCCTTCTACCTTTCTTTTGATAAGAGAGCTGTATAAGGTGGATCTGGAAATGCTTTGAATGGAATCACAACGATAAGGTAAAACCAGAAGCCACTAGGAGCTTAGTACATGGCCTATCCTTATAAGTCAGGTTTCTAGTAAGGTTCCTAGAAAACTGCAGGTTTGTGGCTGGGAGGGGAGAAAGGCCTCAGACAGTTAATTGTGCTGGAATTCTTGCTGTGCTGCTGGCAAAGGCTTCAGCCAAAAGCCCCCATGAGGAGTGTTTCTCTCCTCATATCCCCTCAGTTTTCTTTTTCTATCCTGCTTTACTCCTACTGCCCACTGTCCACTCCAGCTGCCGCTATCTCCCCACCAGGCTAAGACCCTTCCCACTGTACAGCTCTCATGCTGCTGCCTGCCCTTCCTAGAAACCCTGCTCCCAGCATTTCCCTCTCCAGCTCCTTGCCCTTGTTCCTGCTCCTCGGGAGTTTTCATCTCCGTCCACTCAGGATAAAGGCCACGTCCACATTCATTCTCAAGCTGTCATTTGGTGCAGTTTCTTTGTAGCACTAAACTTGTCCTCTTATTTATGTGTGTGTGTGTGTGTGTGTATGTGTGTATGCATGTGTGTATGTGTGTGCTGTTTCTGTCTTGCAGTGGAGGCTCCATAAGAACAGGGACCCCATTTGTTTTGTTCATATTGTGTCACTGGACATGGCACCAATTAGGTGCACAATACACATTTGTTCAATGAATAAAATAATGGTAGCCTTTTAGTTCCAAGGTTTATTAATAGTGACCTATCCTTTTTCTGGTTCTTCTTTGCCCCAGCTTCTAACCCCAATCAATCACCCGACTCCAGAGCCTCAGTGTAGTCCCAGTGGGTAGGAAGTGGGATAGGGTAGACTTGGACATCATGCACACCTCTAGCTTCCAAAGTTGCTTTTTTTTTTTTCTTTAATGCAATAAAACCATCCTTATGCACCAAACCTCTCACTGAACTCCTCACTGTCAAATATATAAAACAGGATCTGCCCTTATTGAGGGAAAATATATGGGGCTTATAGCTGAGAAAGAGTTTGGTGTTCACTGTTCTCCTTATTTCAATGACTTCATAGTACAGATAAACAGGCTGGACCCAGAAAGGGGCCATGATCTTCCCCGAGACACACAGCCTCCAGGGCCTTCAGTCCAGTGCCCATTCTATACCACCATACTGGGTTCTGGAGTCTTCCATCCAGAACAGAAGCTCCCAGCTCTGTCTGCCATGGTGAGAGCCTGGCTCCTCCTCTGGTTACCTACCCCCTCAGCTGCTGGCCCTGAGGTCATGTGAGGGGCTGGCTGGAGGGTGGATTGGCAGTAAAGGGAGGTTGCGTGGGGAAAATGGTTTTCTGTGTTGGAAGGCTGGTGGGGCTGGGGGGCTGGGGGCTAGAGGGCTGAGAAGGGCTTCCTGGACATGAGGTAGGCTCTCCCTTCCTCAAGATGAGGTTGTTGAGCTCCTGAAGCAGCTGTTCCTCCAGGGACCCCCGAGCCTGAGGACTGCTTTTTGAAGGGGGGCCTGGAGGAAGGTCAGGTATCCTCTCCTCTTGACCTGGTGTGCTTGCTTTGGAGAGTGGGGGTTGATCTGAGGACCTCTGATTGGTAAGGGGTATCTCCGGCTTGGTTGTCCACTCCCATGTGGTAGAGAAGGAGGTTGAGGTGCCCTTGGTAAGCTCAGGGAAGGCCCCGACCTCCTCATATACCGGCTCTTCATACACAGGCTCCTCTACTTCATCCTGTTCTTCCACAGACCCCTGGGATGACTTCATTGGCTAGATGGAAATGGGGCAGCAGGGGATGGGCACAGCATTAGAGTTATCATATTATTAATCACCAACATTCATCGAGCTATTCCTCTGGGCCAGATACTGCAAATATGATATGATAGTGCAACAGCCCTGTGCAGGTGGGTAATACTGAAGAACAGTGAACTGAGATGCAGAGGGGTCATGCTGCCCAAGATCACATTGTGAGGAAATGGTGGTTGGTGGGGCTTGACTCCAGGTCTGTCTGATTCTAATATGCAATCACTTAGCCACTTATTTTCTATTTCTTAGATTCTGTAATCACTTTCTTCTCTCCTCATCACATCCTATCATCCTTTACTGTCCTCCTCTGTCAGGGTGTCTGTCACACAAACCCCGATGGCCTGCATTAGGACAGACATGGAGCACACCATGGCTTGGGCAGCACAGAACACAGACAGGGCTGGCAGGCACACAGCTAGAGCAGGCACAGTACTCACAAAGAACATGGACAGTGTCCTCCGGTTGTGTAGTCGCCGCTAAATACACGTAGAGTGGGGATGAGGAGGGGGGAAAAACAGAGACACAGTGAGGCCTGGCAACAGGAGGTGAGGGTGGGGAGTGGGGGCATAGAGAAGGGAGAAGGGAGAGTCACGGTATAGTGGGGAGCATCAGGCAGGCACACTATTTCCTCTTGTGATGTGTCAAAGGGAAGAGCAAGGATCAGATGATTAGGACAGGCTGGGGATGGGTGTCTCACCAGGGTCTGATTGGCAGAAAGGAGAGTGGCTCCACTATCATCCCCACGGATGGGCAGCAAGGGCATAGTGCCAAACTTCTGATGGGCAAGATCAGAGGAGGAACGGCAACGTAAGACGACAGACTGTTGGTCATCATGCTAATGAGAGAGTGGGAGGTTAGCACCAGTGGACTTGGAAGGCACTGAGGGATATGACTGGGCTCTAGGACCACCAGAGACCCTGCCTTCAGCCTCTTCCTTCTCACCTGGGCTTTAAGGATACTGGTGGTCCAATCCCACATCTCATCTTCGTCAGTGCAGGACAAGTAGCTGCGAGTGATCAGAGTGGATTCAGGAAAGTGATGGAATCCTAGCACTAGGCATGAAGAAGGAAGGGGAGGAAAGGGGACAGGGGGCAGGGGCTGTGGAGATAGCTCGGTTGGCGTAGTGCTTGCCATGCAAGCATGAGACCAGACTTTGATCCCCAGCACCCATGTTTAAAAAAAAAACAAAGCTGGGCATGTTATCCCAGCTGGAGAGGTTGAGACAGGCAGGTCCCTGAGGCTCACTGGCCAGCCAGTTTAGCCTAATCAGCAAGCCCTACGTCCTAATGAATGACACCTGAAGTTGTCCTCTGGATTCCACATACATGAGTGTATACACACACACACACACACACACACACACACAGAGTGAGGGGCTGAGATAGAGGCACACCCAGCCAGGAGGTACTTACAGGTGCATCTTCTCCAATATCAAAGTAAAGCCCCATCTGGAAGGCAAAGGAAATCAGTACAGGGTGACTTCAGAAGCCAGAGGGGTGAAGGCAGAAAGGCCCTAAATGAGGGATAGGGAAGAAAACTCACAGTGTTGGAGGTTTTAACTTCTTTCGAATTCCCAGGTAGACCTTAGCACCTTCCAGAGACCACTCTCGTTCTGGTTTAGCACTCTGAGAATATGGGCAGAGGAAGTGAGGTTGAGAGGTAAAAGAACATCATAGTTAAGGTCAAGAAGTCATGGAAGCATTGGGACATGTGATCATGGACTCAGAGAAGTCAAGGTCAGGGAAGCAATGAGATCAGTGAGGGTGTGGGCTGTGGAGTCCAGGGGTTAGTACAGTCATGGCTCCTGCTACCTGGCTGGCCACTCAGCAACCCACCCCTCTAGCTCCAGGGCCTCACCTTCTTCTCCTTAAGCAGCAGGAGGCAGCGGCCACGCACCAAAAAGAACTTCTCCTGGAAGCGGCTTCCCAACAAGCGAGATGGTTCCTCACGACACCTCAACAGCCCCACCCGTGGGCTCTCACGACGAACTCCTGGGCACAGAAGGGCAATGCTGGATGGAGGCTCCTGGGAGAGAGGCTTGGGAAAAGCTGAGCTCAGAAGAGGAGGCTCACCTGTGAAAAGGCAGCCAGCTTGTGCCAGGGAGACTTTTCTCAGAAGCAGAGAGGCTGAGCAGGGCTCAGGAAGCTGGCACCATTGCAAGGCCTGCTCTAGGACCTTTTCCTTGGGGTGCAGTGGCCTCTCTGAAGGGAAACGTTGGGCAGATAGTAATCAGCATATCTGACCAAAGCCTAGAGCTCCCACATCATCCCCCTCTAGTCATTCATTCATTCATTCATTCATTCATTCATGCATGCATCCATCCAACTATCCACAGGTATTTATTTTAACAATGATTCTATGCCAGATACCATGCTGGCCCTGGGATGCAATGGTAAGCATGATATACATGGCTTTCCTTCCTGAAGCCACAGCCTAATGAAGGAGCCAATAGTAAACAGGTAGGCAAACAAAATATAGAGACCAGTAATTACTTAAAAAGAAACAATATGCTGAGACACAGTGGGGGAAAAGGGACAGGAACAAATTGACAGAGAAACAGAAAGACAGGTCACCAAATGAAATAAGACAGTCAGGCAAGGCCTTTCAGAAGTTGCATCTGTAGGTAAGGTATTAAGAAAGGCAGGCTGGGGGCTGGAGAGATGGCTCAGCGGTTGAGAGCACTGACTGCTCTTGCAGAGGACCCAGGTTCAATTCCTAGCACCCACATGGCAGCTACAAACCGTCCTTAACTCCAGTTCCAGGGGAATCCAACACCCTCTTCTGACCTCTGAGGCATTGCACAACACGGATGCGCTCACATACATGCAGGCAATACACTCATACACATAAAATTTAAAAATACTAAATAAAATATATTTTAAAAAAAGAAAAGAAAAGCAGGCCATGCTTTTACCTAAGATTATAGATGATCTTTTATTGTTGTTGTTTGTTTGTTTGATTGATTGATTGATTGATTGATTGATTGGGTTTATTTGTTTTTGTTTGTTGAGATGATGTCTCACTATGTAGTCCTGGCTAGCCGGAACTTGCTACGTAGACCAGGCTGGCCTCCAAACTTTGGCAATCTGCTGGCCTTTTCTGGTGTGTGCCACTACCCTCAGCTTCAGGTAAGATCTTATAAGATGAAATATAAGAACAAAGGTGGTGAGTCAGAAAATATGCACTTGGGGAACTAAACAGCCAGTGTGGCCAGACTGGGGGCAGAGGTGTTGTATATAGCTCAGTGGTGAATGCCTGCCTTCCATTCTCAAAGCCCTAGGTTCAGTTATCAGCACAGTGGGGGAGGACACACTGTGCTCTAGTAAAAAGACAACTAAGAAATGGGTGATGTGAGATGAGGCCTGAGGAACAGGCAGCAGCCATAAACCCAAGGTTTTGCAGGTCATAAGAAGGATTTTGAGTTTTATTCTAAATTCATTGGGAAACTATCAGAGGGTTTTAACCATGGGAATAGTATGATCTAATTTATGCTTGATACATCCATTTGGCTGCTGTGCAAAAAACGGATTATAGGAAGCAAGAATGGAACACTGTCCAACTACTTCCAGTTGAGAACCATGCATTTTAGTGGTTCGTGTTGGGACACATTAGGATAACGGTGACTATGACTAGGCGGTGGAAAGAGTGGAGATTGTGAGGAGTGACAGATTTGAATGAAATCAACTGGACTAGTTGGTGGGCTGAGTATGAAGATGAAAGAAGTGGGAGGTGGGGGGGGCGCTCCAGAGGACTCCTAGTCTTCTGGACTTAATTGCGTGAACTGTGGTTCTAGTTGCTGAAAAAGGAAAACCAGAAAACAGCCTGGTTTATATTGGAGGAGGGGACTGGGAATGAAGGAAATGTCAGTCTTAGACACTGTAAATTTGAGATGAATATGAGAAGTAGAAGTGTGAAGTAGGCACTTGGATATGTAAGTGCAGAGTGCAGAGGAGAGATCTGAGCCAGAGATGAAAGTGTGGGGTGGTAGCCAGGCATGGTAGTATATACCTATAATTCCAGTACTTGGGAGGCAAAAGCAGGGGAATTAACACAATTCAAGGCCAGTCTGATCTAGGTAGTGAGTTCTTGATCCAACAAGGCTACATAGTAAGAACTTGTCTTTAAATTAATTGATTAATTTGGGAGTCAATTAATGACAGTTAAAGCCACGGGGGAGGATGAGTTCATCCAAGATATAGAGAGAAAAGAAGAAAGGGCTCAGGATTGAGTCCTGGTCCTTCTAACATTTCAGTCTAGGAAAATGGCAAAGAGAAGCTCCCATTGAGATAGAAGGGAAACCAAGAGCTTGTGTGGTCCACTAAAGCCAAAAAGATTGAGAAAGAGAGAGAACATGCACAGAGGGAATGCCTTCTTAAGTGGGTAAGTTGACTAGGAAAATGTCCATTATATCTGTGATGACCTAGGTCACATGACCACACACACAAGGATGTGGTCACACTCACCAAGCTCTCCATGCTCAAGAATTTCAAACGTCATCCATAAGTCTGTTCCTGCTACTGTCCCTCGAATTTCCAATACCTGGTTAGTCAGTTCCTCAGCAGTTAGTGTTGGGGACACCTAAGATCCCAACAAGAGCAGAGAATCCATGTGATCAGACCATTGGCTTTTCCCCACCCCATTCTCTCTTCCCCTCCAGTCCCCTCTAGACTGACCTTCAGGGTAACACAGTTGTCTGGGTGTTGCTGCTCTATATAAACCTCCATGATAAGGTCTCCAGCCTGGGACAGCTGAGGAGAGGGGGAAAGGAGGACGCAGAGATTTCAAAAATACCAGTATCAGAGAATGCCTCATAGGTACTTCCCACAGCAAAGATCTCCTTCTAACCCTCACCTCCAACTTGGCTTGGGACCTGGAAGAGGAGAACTCCAGGAGGTGCGGAACTGCATGTTTAGCTGCATGTGGTGCTACCCCAGTGCCACACAATGACTGGGAGAACAGGTTTGTAGTCAGACTACCTGGGTTCCATCTCAGCCACTCACCATAGTGTGACCTTGAATAAGTGACCCCAAGAGCCTCAGTTCTTTATTTGAAAAAATGGGGTTACCTATTTCATGGAGTTGTGTAATGCTAAAGTGGGATTAGAGGTGCTTAGAGAATATAAGAAGTCCTCAATAATATTTGCTATTGTATTTTCCTGCCCCTGCCCCCACCACCCCCTCTCCTCCCATAAAGTCTCAGACTAGCGCAGACTGGCCTTGACCTCAATTTTGTTATAAAATAGGGTCTCAGGTAGCCTTGAACTTTCTATGTAGCTGAGGGTGACCTTGAACTTCTGATCCTCCTGTTTCTACCTTCTGACAGCTGGGATTACAGGCATGTGTCACCAACTCCGTATTTTTTATGTGGAGCTGGAAAAAGAATCCAGAGCTTCATGCATGCTAGGCAAGAACTTTAGCTAAGATACATCTCCATCTTAGTCTGTAGCTCTCTGTGTAGCCAGATTTCTGATTCTCCTGCCTCCACCACCCAAATGCTAGGATTACAGGCATGTTGGGGTCTCTTATACTTAGAAGTGAAATGCTGGAGGTGCAGTTCAGCGATAGAGCACTTGCCTAACAAGTGTGAGGCTTTTTTTTTTTTTTTTTTTTGGACTTTTTGAGACAGGGTCTCCCTGTAGCCCCAGCTGTCCTGGAACTCACCATGTATACCAGGCTGGACTTGAATTCACATAGATCTGCCTGCCTCTGCCTCCTGAGTGCTGGGATTAAAAGTGTGCACCACCACACCAGGCATGAGGCTTTTTTATTTTTTCAAATCCCCAGTATCACACATACACAAAAATAGTAAGGTTCTGCTACCATTGTTTTGTAATGAATCTTTGTGGCAGAACAAATGGAGCAAACACATTGCTCAAAGCATCCTTCCTGGGGGATCCCCTGTCTACCAAAGAGCTGACAGTCAATGCACAGAAGGACAGGCTAAAAGGAAACTTCCTCTAGTGGGCAGAAGAGCCATTTCCTATCATGGTGTGCCTCCTGCCATCTTTCAGCAATCTAAGATCAGAGCTGGTTACCTGCACATCCTTCCAGGTGGTGATGAGACTGACTTCCAAGTCAATCTGAGCTGCCTGGTCAGAGTCAATCTGCAAAAGATCCAAAAGGTGGTGTGGGGTTGCTAGAAAAAGAGGAAAGCAGGGCAGAACTGAAGGCCAAAGGGGCCATGGACAAGAAGGTTGGAGGCCTGAACTACAAGGAATCAACAGGGAGAAGATATTGGGGGTTAGATTGTGGGAGAAGCCCAGAGCTCTGAGAGGAGGTTCCCAGTGCAGAGAAGCTTCGGAGGGCTAGTCTAGAGGTCTGGGGGATGGAGAGTCAGAGTCTGGGTCTCACAGAGGTAAGGCCATAGGTCATAGATCATGGTCGGGAAAGCCTTACATCAAAGACAGAGATGTAGCCATCGATGAGCTCCTGCAGCACCCGCACCTCATGCTCTCCCCGCCCATCCGTCTGGAACACACTAGGTGCAAACAGCAGGGCCAGGTTCCGTGTACACATCTGGTTTAGGGATGCACACTTCTGTACCCTGCAGAGGGGAACTAGGGTCATGAGGAGTGCAGCTCATGCAAATGTTTACTATACATTTATGGTATGCCAGGCTCAAGGCTAAGTACTAGGGATATGTCAGTAAATAAGATAATATTGGCCTCAAGGAACTTTGAATCTCTCAGGGACACAGTTAAGGTATGGGTGACCACAAATTGAGCAGGGGCCCACATGTAAGGGGAAGGCAGTAAATATTTTAGGCCCTCAAGCCATATGGTCTGTCATAACTCCTCAGCTCTGCTGTTACACTGCCAAAAAGCCATAGATGACATAAATGAATGGGCAGGACTTTACACTTTACATACAAAGTTTTATTTGGAAACTCTGGCAATGGGCTGGATTTGATACTTGGGCCTGTAGTTGGCAAACCTACATATTATATAACCAGTACAACACAGCCAGGGATTCACCCTCACGTCATTCAAAGGCTTCTCTCCCCAACAGGCCCATACAGGTATTTTTGTATCTTATCCATTTTTATATCTCTTACAGTTAATCACAGAATAATTTTTAAGAGTGATTATTTCTGAAGGCTTGTTACATGCCATGTGCTGTACTAGGAATTTCACGTGGATTATCTCATTTCATTCTCATATAACCTATCAGGTAGAAACTTCATTACATCTCATCTTCCGCTTAGGAATAAGCAAACTGAGGCTCAAAGAGAACAGACAGCTAACCTAAAATCACACAGCTAGAATAATAGAGTCAGATTAAAGCCTGTTTGCTTGACCCCCAAATCCATCCTCTGAACCTTTGTCTACAACACCTTTACTTAACGGCTATGTGAAAAATGAATGAATGAATGAATGAATGAATGAATGAAATTGTGGTACTGGATTGAGGTGATGAAGGACCAGGAAATGAAGCTGAGTGGGCCTAACCATACTGACCGATAGAGATGCCCAATGAGTGCGGCCAGTGTACGTTGGTTAATTCGAGGCAGGCAACCAATCACTTCTTTGTATTTCTCCAGGCGCTGATTCTTCTGCGGAAGCTCTGGGGATGGAGGGGAGGAAAGATGGAGAGGATCCAAGAAGAGACAATGAAGGCTAGGAGCAGAGATTTGGGGAAAAACAAAACCAGGATGGAACAGAGGTGTCTCTTTCTGCCTCTTAGTTCCTGAGCCAAGTCTCTGGATGATCGCCCAGGATGGGGAGTGTTGAGGAGGGGGCTTCCCAATCCCACAAGAGAACTCCATGGTTTCTGATAGGGAAGGATGGAGATTCCCAGTTGGGTCTTGGGAGTACCTGCAGCCTCCCTCCAGCGAGGCAGCAACCGAGCTGAGGTCACAGGGTCATCAAGCTCTCGAAAGAAGCGCTTGAGTGTGTCAGTGACATCTTCCACAAAGTGTTCCCTTGGTCTGAGCTTCACTGACCGGGCATCCCGCCGGAACTCAGCCAGGAGTCTCAGGCTGCGGGCCCGAGCACCCCCTTTCCGATATACACCTTCTAGCTGAAGCCCTGAAAATAGCCAGAGGTTCCTGTTTACCATTACCCAAAAGACAGAGTACCACCCAGCCAGAGGCCCCTCTCTACCATCCACCCAGTGGCCCCTCTCCAACTCCTCCATGGTATGTGGGTACTTGGTCTCAGCTACCTGTTGGGCTAGTCTTTGTTCTCAACTCCCTGCTTGAAAGTCCTTTCCTGACCTCGCTGTCACACTTGGCATCCCCATCATGCCGCAGCTCTCACTTTTATTCTTAAGAAGTACTCCCTGAAATCACGTAATAGTTGACCTGCATTAGCCACACCCTCTGTATTTAAGTATTCACCTGTTTACCAAAATTTATTTGTAACTCTTATCATCCGTAAGTCATTGTTCAGTATCCATGGGAGACTGGATCCAGCAGCCCCCTAAAAATAACAAAACCTATGGCTGTACAAGTCTTATATATCAAAAGGTGTATGTAACCCTATGTACATCATCTCCAGGTAACTTATAATACCTAATATGTTGTAAATCACTGTTATGTTGGGGCTGGAGAGATGGCTCAGCAGTCAAAAGCACTGACTGCTCTTGCAGAGGACCCGGGTTCGATTCTCAGCACCCACATGGTGGCTACGAACCGTCCTTAACTCCAGTTCCAGGGGAATCCGAAGCCCTCTTCTGACCTCTGTGGCATTGCACTACACGGGTGCACTCACATACATGCAGGCAATATACTTGTACACATAAAATAAAAATAATAATTAAAATATTTTTTAAAACCTGTTATGTCTTATGTACAGAATAATGACAAGAAAAGTCTACATATTCATTACCATTTTTTCAAATATTTTCTATCTTCAGTTGATTGCATATACATATGTAGAAACTGTGGCTATAGAGAGCTAACTGTACTTTTAGTACTTCCACAGTAATTTATGAACATGTGCAGAGTAAGTAAAAACTTGATTCCTCCTCCCATGCATATGTTCCTTGCTAAGATCTCAGATTATAAGCAAATATCCCCTTTTTTTCTTTCTTTTTGCGGTGCTAAGTAGAGAACCCAGGGCCTCACACATGCTAGGCAAATACTCTACCACTGAGCTATATCTTTAGTCACATATGTCCCTTTTACAAGATATTTAGACACACTTTTCTCTTTTTTTCTTTTTGTTGATGATTTCACAGCTTTAAAATGTCCCCCAATATGTGCAAAGCTGAAATTCTATCTAGTGTTTCAAAGCATAAGAGCACTGTCATATGTCTTTCAGAGCACATTTGTGTGGATTAGCTAAGCTCCATTAGTGTATAAGTTACGCTGCCACTGTATTTGAGTTCAATGCTAATGAATCAATCATA